TAGACACTTGTCTATTGCTGATGTAGACACCTATAGCTGTCATTGCTGATGACTGGAAGATTTAGATCTTGACATACATGTATTATATAGACACCTATAGCTGTCATTGCTGATGACAATATCTCAAAAATGCTTTCAGCAGTTTTCATGAAACTTTAGTGAATTGTTTATATCTATTGACTTAAGCTCCTTCTCGATTTTTTATAAATTTTAGATTTTAGTTTTCAGAGTTATGGGATTTTATTCACAAAAAGGGGTGATTTTCCAGTTTTCAGACAATATCTTTAAAGTGCTTTGAGCAGTTTTCGTGAAACTTTGGGGACTGGTTTATATCTATAAAGGTAACCTCCCTTTACTTTTTTTAAAAATTTCTGATATGACATTGAGAAGTTATTGAACTTTATTCTTTGTATCATGGGCTCATGGCACAGCTGTTTATTGTCATAAGGTTGCTGTCTTATTGACATATACCCCACATCTCCTTTTAATCTTAATTGACATATACCCCACATCTCCTTTTAATCTTAATTGACATATACCCCACATCTCCTTTAATCTTATCTTATTGACATATACCCCACATCTCCTTTAAATCTTATCTTATTGACATATACCCCACATCTCCTTTTAATCTTATCTTATTGACTTAAACCCCACATCTCCTTTTAATCTTATCTTATTGACATATACCCCACATCTCCTTTTAATCTTAATTGACATATACCCCACATCTCCTTTTAATCTTATCTTATTGACATATACCCCACATCTCCTTTTAATCATATCTTATTGACATATACCCCACACCTCCTTTTAATCTTATCTTATTGACTTATACCCCACATCTCCTTTTAATAATATCTTATTGACATATACCCACATCTTCTTTTAATCTTATCTTATTGACATATACCCCACATCTCCTTTTATTAATATCTTATTGACATATGCCCCACATCTCCTTTTAATCTTAATTGACTTATACCCCACATCTCCTTTTAATCTTATCTTATTGACATATACCCCACATCTCTTTTTAATCATATCTTATTGACATATACCCCCACATCTCCTTTTAATCTTATCTTATTGACATATACGTCTCCTTTTAATCATATCTTATTGACATATATCCGACATCTCCTTTTAATTTTATCTTATTAACATATACTCCACATCTCCTTTTAATCTTCTCTTATTGACATATACCCCACATCTCCTTTTTATCTTCTCTTATTGACATATACCCCACATCTCCTTTTAATCTTCTCTTATTGACATATACCCCCACATCTCCTTTTAATCTTATCTTATTGACATATACCTCACATCTCCTTTTAATCTTAATTGACATATACCCCACATCTCCTTTTAATCTTATCTTATTGACATATATGTCTCCTTTTAATCATATCTTATTGGCATATACCCCACATCTCCTTTTGATCATATCCTATTGACATATACCCCCCATCTCCTTTTAATCATATCTTATTGACATATACCCAACATCTCCTTTTAATCATATCTTATTGACATATACCCACATCTTCTTTTAATCTTAATTGACATATACCCCACATCTCCTTTTAATCATATCTTATTGACATTTACCCCACATCACCTTTTAATCATATCTTATTGACATATACCCCCACATCTCCTTTTAATCATATCTTATTGACATTTACCCCACATCTCCTTTTAATCATATCTTATTGACATATACCCACATCTTCTTTTAATTTTAATTGACATATACCCCCACATCTCCTTTTAATCATATCTTATTGACATATACCCACATCTTCTTTTAATTTTAATTGACATATACCCCCACATCTCCTTTTAATCATATCTTATTGACATATACCCCACATCTCCTTTTAATCAAATCTTATTGACATATACCCCACATCTCCTTTTAATCATATCTTATTGACATATACCCACATCTTCTTTTAATTTTAATTGACATATACCCCATATCTCCTTTTAATCATATCTTATTGACATATACCCCACATCTCCTTTTAATCATATCTTATTGACATTTACCCCACATCTCCTTTTAATCATATCTTATTGACATATACCCACATCTTCTTTTAATTTTAATTGACATATACCCCCACATCTCCTTTTAATCATATCTTAATTGACATATACCCCCACATCTCCTTTTAATCATATCTTATTGACATATACCCAACATCTCCTTTTAATCATATCTTATTGACATATACCCCACATCTCCTTTTAATCATATCTTATTGACATATACCCACATCTTCTTTTAATTTTAATTGACATATACCCCACATCTCCTTTTAATCATATCTTATTGACATATACCCACATCTTCTTTTTAATTTTAATTGACATATACCCCACATCTCCTTTTAATCATATCTTATTGACATATACCCAACATCTCCTTTTAATCATATCTTATTGACATATACCCCACATCTCCTTTTAATCATATCTTATTGACATATACCCACATCTTCTTTTAATTTTAATTGACATATACCCCACATCTCCTTTTAATCATATCTGATTGACCTTTACCCCACATCTCCTTTTAATCATATCTTATTGACATATACCCCACATCTCCTTTTAATCATAATTGACATATACCCCACATCTCCTTTTAATCTTAATTGACATATACCCCACATCTCCTTTTAATCTTATCTTATTGACATATACCCCACATCTCCTTTTAATCTTATCTTATTGACATATACCCCACATCTCTTTTTAATCATATCTTATTGACATATACCCCCACATCTCCTTTTAATCTTATCTTATTGACATATACGTCTCCTTTTAATCATATCTTATTGGCATATACCCCACATCTCCTTTTAATCATATTTTATTGACATATACCCCAAATCTCCTTTTAATCATATCATACTGACATATACCTCACATCTCCTTTTAATCTTAATTGACATATACCCCAACATCTCCTTTTAATCATATCTTATTGACATATACCTCACATCTGCTTTTAATCATATCTTATTGACATATACCCTCAATCGCCTTTTAATCCTAATTGACATGTACCCCCACATCTCCTTTTAATCCTAATTGACATATACCCCCACATCTCCTTTTAATCCTAATTGACATATACCCCCACATCTCCTTTTAATCAGATCTTATTGACATATACCCCACATCTCCTTTTAATATTAATTGACATATACCCCACATCTCCTTTTAATCATATCTTATTGACATATACCTTACATCTCCTTTTAATATTAATTGACATATACCTCACATCTCCTTTTAATATTAATTGACATATACCTCACATCTCCTTTTAATATTAATTGACATATACCCCCACATCTCCTTTTAATTCTAATTGACATATACCCCACATCTCCTTTTAATCAGATCTTATTGACATATACCTTACATCTCCTTTTAATATTAATTGACATATACCTCACATCTCCTTTTAATATTAATTGACATATACCTCACATCTCCTTTTAATCTTAATTGACATATACCCCACATCTCCTTTTAATCTTCTCTTTTTGACATATACCCCCACATTTCCTTTTAATCTTAATTGACATATACCCCACATCTCCTTTTAATCTTAATTGACTTATTAAAACAATAACATTAAGTAAACAAGTTTTGATATGCAGATGATATCAGAAAAGCAATATGGTAGCGTCCATGACAATGTTACTTTTTAAAAAGTATGATTTCTATCTACAGTTATGAATTGATTTTTCTTGACTTATGGTTTGCACGTAGTTTGCATCGTGCAGAAAGAATAAGAGAGATAATAATTTTGCACTTGTATTTCTCATAATTTGTAAGTTACGTTTTATTACAAGTCTGACTTTTACTTGATAATGCTGTGTATGATTACAAATATATTTATTACAAGTCTGACTTTTACTTGATAATGCCGTGTATGATTACAAATATATTTATTACAAGTCTGACTTTTACTATATAATGCTGTGTATGATTACAAATATATTTATTACAAGTCTGACTTTTACTTGATAATGCTGTGTATGATTACAAGTCTGACTTTTACTTGATAATGCTGTGTATGATTACAAGTCTGACTTTTACTTGATAATGCTGTGTATGATTACAAGTCTGACTTTTACTTGATAATGCTGTGTATGATTACAAGTCTGACTTTTACTATATAATGCTGTGTATGATTACAAGTCTGACTTTTACTTGATAATGCTGTGTATGATTACAAGTCTGACTTTTACTTGTTAATGCTGTGTATGATTACAAATATATTTATTACAAGTCTGACTTTTACTATATAATGCTGTGTATGATTACAAGTCTGACTTTTACTTGATAATGCTGTGTATGATTACAAGTCTGACTTTTACTTGATAATGCTGTGTATGATTACAAGTCTGACTTTTACTTGATAATGCTGTGTATGATTACAAGTCTGACTTTTACTTGATAATGCTGTGTATGATTACAAGTCTGACTTTTACTTGATAATGCTGTGTATGATTACAAGTCTGACTTTTACTTGATAATGCTGTGTATGATTACAAGTCTGACTTTTACTTGATAATGCTGTGTATGATTACAAGTCTGACTTTTACTTGATAATGCTGTGTATGATTACAAGTCTGACTTTTACTTGATAATGCTGTGTATGATTACAAGTCTGACTTTTACTTGATAATGCTGTGTATGATTACAAGTCTGACTTTTACTTGATAATGCTGTGTATGATTACAAGTATATGTATGTAATGCATGGCGTTTTCCCTTATTCTTTCACTTCATTTTGTACTTGTTTGTTTTGTGAGTAGGTGATCTTATTTATGTCCTTTGTATGAAACCAGTTGCTTTTTAGCATGTAACATGTGTAAGCTATGTATCATCAAATTTCCAAAGTAATGGTCATTTTGGTGGGACAGTTGTCACAGATATTATATATCATAATAACTCTGTTTTCAGTTCAGCAGCTATCAACCTTTATACAGTTTTCCTGAGCCCTATCCAAGGGCAGTTCCCCACTCACAGACTGAGCCCTATGCAAGGGCAGTTCCCCACTCACAGAATGAGCCCTATCCAAGGGCAGTGCCCCTCTCACAGACTGAACCCTATCTTAGGACAGACTACAGTTTTCAGGTCAGAGCATCCCGCAGCTTATGTATTGGCTTCTGCTAGGGATCATGGGATTTGTTTTTCAGTTGATGCATAGATGAAATAGATTCATATTTGTATTATACATTTTTATTATATTTTTACTATAAAAATAAGGAGATGTGATATGATTGCCAATGAGACAGCTATCAGCCAGAGTTCAAATGACATGGATATAAGCAATTATAGGTCACGGTACGGCCTTCAGCAATGAGAAAACCTGTATAATTAGGTATTAAAGGCCATGAAGTCTGTTCTTATTTGATAAAGAGTAGAAGCAAATTGCAAGGAGGCAAACAGAAATCATATGTCAGAGAAAAACTGGCTAAACTAAAGCCAGACAAACAACTGACAACAAAACACAGAACACTAAAGAACAATAGGAACACTGACTAAACTAAAGCCAGACAAACAACTGACAACAAAACACAGAACACTAAAGAACAATAGGAACACTGACTAAACTAAAGCCAGACAAACATTTGACAACAAAACACAGAACACTAAAAAACAATAGGAACACTGACTAAACATAAGCCAGACAAACAACTGACAACAAAACACAGAACACTAAAGAACAATAGGAACACTGACTAAACTAAAGCCAGACAAACATTTGACAACAAAACACAGAACACTAAAGAACAATAGGAACACTGACTAAACATAAGCCAGACAAACAACTGACAACAAAACACAGAACACTAAAGAACAATAGGAACACTGACTAAACATAAGCCAGACAAACAACTAACAACAAAACACAGAACACTAAAGAACAATAGGAACACTGACTAAACATAAGCCAGACAAACAACTGACAACAAAACACAGAACACTAAAGATCAATAGGAACACTGACTAAACTAAAGTCAGACAAACAACTGACAACAAATACAGAACACTAAAGAACAATAGGAACACTGACTAAACTAAAGACAGACAAACATTTGACAACAAAACACAGAACACTAAAGAACAATAGGAACACTGACTAAAATAAAGCCAGACAAACAACTGACAACAAAACACAGAACACTAAAAAACAATAGGAACACTGACTAAACTAAAGACAGACAAACATTTGACAACAAATACAGAACACTAAAGAACAATAGGAACACTGACTAAACTAAAGCAAGACAAACAACTGACAACAAACATAGAACACTAAAGATCAATAGGAACACTGACTAAACTAAAGTCAGACAAACATTTGACAACAAAACACAGAACACTAAAGAACAATAGGAACACTGACTAAACTAAAGTCAGACAAACATTTTACAACAAAACACAGAATACTAAAGAACAATAGGAACACTGACTAAACTAAAGCCAGACAAACAACTGACAACAAAACACAGAACACTAAAGAACAATAGGAACACTGACTAAAATAAAGCCAGACAAACATTTGACAACAACACACAGAACACTAAAGAACAATAGGAACACTGACTAAACTAAAGCCAGACAAACAACTGACAACAAAACACAGAACACTAAAGAACAATAGGAACACTGACTAAACTAATGCCAGACAAACAACTGACAACAAAACACAGAACACTAAAGAACAATAGGAACACTGACTAAACTAAAGACAGACAAACATTTGACAACAAAACACAGAATACTAAAGAACAATAGGAGCACTGATTTTACTAAAGCCAGACAAACATTTGACAACAAAACACAGAACACTAAATAACAATAGGAACACTGACTAAACTAAAGCCAGGCAAACAACTGACAACAAAACACAGAACACTAAAGAACAATAGGAACACTGACTTAGCTAATGCCAGACAAACAACTGACAACAGAACACAGAACACTAAAAAACAATAGGAACACCACCAAAAAAGTGAACTTACGAGTGTTAGATGCTCCTGAAGAGTAAGCAGTTCCTGTTCCACCTTTAGTGTCACCCATCATGATGCTACACTGAGGTTGTGAGTTCCTTAGTTGATTAGGCTTAGGATTTTCCTGTCAAAGGTCTTGGTACCCTTATGGCACTCTGACTTCCTCCAATAAAAACTGGCCATCATCATAAATTGAAAAGTGGTGCAAATGGTGTTAAACACCGACAAATCAATCATTCATCAATTATTGTGTTGCTCAAGTCAAGTAAAAATGTGATAATACCTCACATTCTGTTATGTCATCAAAACCTTTCGTGGTTATTTTTAGGTAAGCATGGTATGTGCATGTGTATATTTAAATATTTTTTTAAAAGTTCTATGAGGTTCTTTTATTATTTTTTGTATTAAATTAGAATATGCAAACTGCTTGTGCATGGTCCATTAGTGAATAAGTTTAGAGAGACTGCTTTATTATAGCATGCCTGAGTCTGTAATGACCATTTTCTCCATTGCATGAGTGGATAGGGATGATTTCAATCCTGCTGAAATATAATAATAGTTTGTTAGTAATTTGCTAGACACCCACAATATATATTGTTACCCTAATCACAATGCAGTTTGATTTTAATTATTCTGTATTGCATGGATTTTGATTTTGACCTATTATAGGGAAAGTATTGACAACTTGGTGATCTCTCTCCACACCCTAATGCTATATGCTAAAACAGGTGAACTCAACAACTCACATAAACATTTTCTGTAAAAAAAACATGCCACTGTATAAAACCTCAAGTATTTATTATAGCAGAGATATGATAAGGAAGTATCATTATTTTATGTCAATTTTATCTTTTTCTTTTTTATTTGAAAAAATTACCAAAAAAAAGATGTTTTTCAAATCACAAGATACAATTACTTCAGTAACCATGGTAACTATTAAATATAAAATATTTAAAAATAAAGAATTTAGTGAGTCCTGTGGGAGAGGGTGTGTTTGTTTACTTGTATTGCATAGTGAGTTGTGGGAGAGGGTATGTTTGTTTACTTGTATTGCATAATGGTTATCTGTTGTTAATATGATAATCAAAAGATATAGTTGGTTAAGGTACTTTTTCTAATAATTGAAGTTTATAATTAACTATGTCACTCTTATTGCGTTTCATAATTACAAATTTGACGGTTTTTGTCTCACGTACGACAAAAGTTGCAGAATGCCAGATGTAGGGATTACAATCCTGCGGCGGCAGCATAAGCTATTTGTATTAAGCTTTATATTTCAGAGGCTAGTAGATCTGGAGTCTTCATACCTTGAATGCAGATGCCTGATGGGACGAAGTTTCCAGCTGTCAGTCTCAGTCTGTTGTCCTTGACCTCATTTTCATTGTTCAGTGACTGCTTGAATAAAAATAAGTTTTTTGATTTGTGAATTTCTCACTTATTATGAGTAATTATATAAATTATAGGATAACTATAATTGGTATATATATGGGTTCCTTGCAAGGTCTACATGTCCGTCAGATCAAGTGATCAAGGTTAAAGTTACATGATTAGTTCAGTTTCTCAGATACTGTAAGCAGTAGATGAACTATATTTGGTGCATGGAATGATTGTAAGGTTTACATGTCAGTCTAGCAGGTTTCAGATCTGACCTTGACCTAATTTTCAAGGTTCATTGGTCACATTAGGTTTTTGTGTTTTGGTCTGTGTTTTTCTAATACATGTACTATAAGCAACAGGTAAACTATATTTGCTGAATGGAATGATTGTAAGTTGTACATGTCTGTCTGGCATGTATCATATGTCCTTGACCCCATTGCATGGTTCAGTTGTCAAAGTTAAGTTTCAGTAGTAAGGTTCTTTTCTAAGATACTATCAGCAATAGGTCAACTATATTTGGTGTATGGAATGATTGTATGGTGTACATGTATGTCTGGCAGGGTTCAACTGACCTAGACCTAATTTTCATGGTTCATTGGTCAATGCTAAGTTTTCCTGGTTAAGTTTGTTTCTCAGATACTATCAGCAATAATGTCAACTATATTTGATGTACAGAATGATTGTAAGGTGTACATGTCTATCTGGCAGGGTTCATCTGACCTTGACCTCATTTTCATTGTTCATTGGTCAATATTAATTTCTCATGGTTTGCAATTGGTCTGTTTCTTGTATACTTTAAGCAATATATCAAATATATTTATTGAATGTAATGATAGTAAGGTGTACATGTCTGTCTGGCACTGTTCATCTGACATGGACTTCATTTTTATGGTTCATTGGTCAATATTAGATGTTCATGGTTTGGTCTGTTTCTTGTAGCAATATGTGAACTATATTTGGTGTATGTAATTATTGTAAGGTGTATATGTCTGTCTAGCTTGGTTTATCTGAACTTGACCTCATTTTGATGGATCATTGATAATGTAAAGTTTATGTGATACTTGTAGTAAAACTTTATCTTAATGATTATCAACATAAAATAAATCATGAATAGTATTGAGGTGAGACATTTCAGCTTGTGCACTCTTGTTTCAAACACACTGTGGGTTTTAGGAAAGTGTCTCTGATTTTGTGGAATACCTTCCCTTGAAAAACCTTATCTATACTTGCAATTTTTATTTATTTGTCCTTCTCTCAGTGGGATTTGAACTGATGCGTCTGTTTCAACATGACAATTGATACACATTTGTGTCCGTTTAAAACCAGCTTTTGCACTTTTTTGCTTTGTACTAATACATAATAAACTATAGCTGTAATATTTACTAGAACTTTAAACAGCAATAAGAACAGTTAAACTTGATTTTTTCCAAATTTTAATATTTATTTATACATTTTGTTACAGACCAAAGAAATGATACATAAACCAGAGAGGTCAACTAAACAGTTCATTAGTACTATGTTAGCTAACCAAGCCAAGAGCAGACAACCTACTCCTGGTTCTGTGTTTCCACCACATGGCTTAACGGTAGATACACATAGTGATCATCATCAAATGTCACAGTTTGTTAAAGTGTCACCCTCAGGACCCAGACTAGTATCACCCCCTGGTTTAGTACCAAGACAGATGGTGTCATCTGGTGGTATGACAAGACAAATGTCTCCATCTGGTGGTATGCAACAGCAAATGTCTCCCCCAGGTGGTGTACCACGACAAACAGGAGGACAGATGTATCATTCTACCACTCCCTCCATGGTACATCCAACCTCTTTACCACAGACAGCTCAGATGACTACAGCATTGCTTCAGCCACAGGTGATGACATCAGCAGGGACAGCCACAAGACGTATTCCTTCACCCAAACCTCAACATCGACATAAAGACTTCGCTCAGGTAAGTACAAAACAACATCAACACAAACATAAACATGGACACTCTTACACATATTCTCGTGTCACCTTAAACTTATCATGGACATAAAGACTTCACTCAGGTAAGTACAAAACAACAATAACACGGACATTCTAACAGACATTCTTCCTTCACCCAAACCTCAACATCCACATAAAGACTTCACTCAGGTAAGTACAAAACAACATCAACACAAACATGGACACTCTTACACATATTCTCGTGTCACCTTAAACTTATCATGGACATAAAGACTTCGCTCAGGTAAGTACAAAACAACATAAACACGGACATTCTTACAGACATTCTTCCTTCACCCAAACCTCAACATTCACATGAAGACTTCCCTCAGGTAAGTACAAAACAACATCAACAAGGACATTCTTACAGACATTCTTCCTTCACCCAAACCTCAACATCCACATAAAGACTTCACTCAGGTAAGTACAAAACAACATTAACACGGACATTCTTACAGACATTCTTCCTTCATTCAAACCTCAACATCCACATAAAGACTTTGCTCAGGTAAGTACAAAACAACATTAACACGGACATTCTTACAGACATTCTTCCTTCACCCAAACCTAAACATCCACATAAAGACTTTGCTCAGGTAAGTACATAACAACATCAACACAGACATTTTTCCTTCACCTAAACCTCAACATCCACATAAAGACTTTGCTCAGGTAAGTACAAAACAACAACACGGACATTCTTACACACATTCTTCCTTCACCCAAACCTAAACATCCACATAAAGACTTTGCTCAGGTAAGTACATAACAACATCAACACAGACATTTTTCCTTCACCTAAACCTCAACATCCACATAAAGACTTTGCTCAGGTAAGTACAAAACAACAACACGGACATTCTTACACACATTCTTCCTTCACCTAAACCTCAACATCCACATAAAGACTTTGCTCAGGTAAGTACATAACAACATCAACACAGACATTTTTCCTTCACCTAAACCTCAACATCCACATAAAGACTTTGCTCAGGTAAGTACAAACAATATCAACACGGACATTCTTACACACAAAACAACATCAACACGGACATTATTACACACATTCGTCCTTCACCCAAACCTCAACATCAAAATAAAGACTTTAATCGACAGACTAAAGATTTTGCTCTTGAAACCACAACACAAAATTAGTATGGACACTTTTATGCACCTAGACTTTGGAAGACAAGTTTCTTTCTCAAAATTGCAATAGATCCATTTTCAAGTGTCACTCTCAGGACCCAGCTGACTAATATCCACCCTGGTTTAGTACCAAGAAAAATTGATAAGGAGTCTTATGACAAAAGCTAGAAATACATACTATTTTTGGTGTTCAAAATAATAGATATTGAAACTTATTTCCTCAATCACAAGTCAGAAATACTCTACAGAATATACACACTTTGTTTGGTGAATAATAAATGTTAATATATATATCCTCAGCTTGGGGGGTCCACTTCAATACTTAATTGATAGGGGGTGCCGCTGGGGTTCTGTTACCCCACCCTTTTCATATAATTTAGATTTTAAAAATGTATACCTTTCCATATATTGCGTAGGTAAAAATGTAAACTTTTCCCATATTATTTGGGTTTCATGTGGTGTGTAATGCAAGAGTGGAATACCAAAGTGTCAAAAGAGAGAAAATTGGTTGATAAAAACACAGCTGGGAACATCAAGAAAGATGACAGACGAAGAAGTTATGGGAACTTTATTGACCTTATCATATATTTCTGATAGTTTTCCTGACCTATTCACATATTTTCAAGCTTGAAAAGGTGACCTATTCCAGCGGCACGTCCTATCACCTTGTATATTAGGAAGTGCCCCCCCCCCCCCTCCTCCCGAGAGCCTCAGACACTAGCCAGAAATACACTACAGAATATACATACTATGTTTGTTGAATAATAAATGTTAACATCTATATCCTCAGGCACAAGCCAGAAATACACTACAGAATGTACATACTATGTTTGGTGAATAATGAAATTAATGTTAATATATATTTCCTCAGGCACAAGCCAGAAATACACTACAGAATATACACATACCTGAGAATACTGGACCAATTAGACAACCTGTGGTGGAACTTGTTAAAATTCCGATACCAAGGTCAACAGATGGAAGCATTCAAACATTCTCTGCCAGTCATATGACCAGTCTTACTACACATGCCGGTAATCTGACTTCACATGCTGGTAATCTGAGTACACATGCCGGTAATCTGACTACACATGCCGGTAATCTGACTACACATGCTGGTAATCTTACTCATTTACCATTCTCACAAATTCAACCACACTCCTTTGGTGAAAACATGGCAACAGAAATAAATAAAACATCACAGGGAATGATAAATCCTTTCACGTTTCCAACAAACCCATCAGTGATCTCACAACCTAAAAGTCAACCAAGATATGAAGTGATCTCCCCTGTTGTTCAGCCAGTTATTGAACAGAAGAGGAAGTTGTCTGATATTGAGATGCCACACTTAGATCCTGTTCCCTCACTCCAGAAGCAAGCCAGTCCTGTCAAAGTGGAAATGGTCAAAATGGTAAGAAAATTAATAATTGGAAGGGATACCACCTTCAAATTGAAGACATTTCTGTCAAGGTTTAAATGGTCAAAATTGTTTTCAAAATAATGCAGTGTGGTGTGGACATAATATCACAAGTCTCACTCAAAACAATTCTTTCCAGTTTTAAGGCAGATATATGGTCAAAACAGCCAAAGTTAATTTGTGGTCAAACATATTCAGGTACTATGTTTTGTACTACAGATAGAGTCAAATTTAAAATTGGTATTTTATGAGTTGATAGAATATAAGGTTGAGGTCATTTTCCAATCAAAAAAAGTCATTGTGTGTCTGATTAATAAAATTGAATCTTAAGAATATATACTCAATAACATTACTAATGATTCCACTGTGAGTTCTGGGAAGAATATATACTCATGGACATTTACTTAGACATTTGATTCCACTGTGAGTTCTGGGGAGAATACATACTCATGGACATTTACTTAGACATTTGATTCCACTCGGAGTTCTGGGGAGAATACAAACTCAAGGACATTTACTAAGACATTTAATTCCATTCAGAGTTCTGGGGAAAATACAAACTCAGGGACATTTACTTAGACATTTGATTTCACTATGAGTTCTGGGGAGAATACATCACTCATGGAAATTTGCTTAGACATTTGAGTCCACTATGAGTTTTGGAGGGAATACATACTTACGAACATTACTTAGATGTTTGATTCCACTATGAGTTTCGGGAGAAAATACATACTCATGGACATTACTTAGACGTTTGATTCCACTGTGAGTTCTGGGGGAAAATACAATTAGGGTCATTTACTCAAACATTTGATTCCACTGTGAGTTCTGGGGGAAAATACATACTCATGGACATTTACTTAGACATTTGATTTCACTGTGAGTTCTGGGGGGAATATATTGAGGATGTTGAGTGACATATTTAAACATGATATGTCAGTTTCCAAACCTTGAAAAGGTTTACTTTTTAAAAAACTAAAGTGTTAAATACATTTTGTAATGAATATGAAGAAACTTCACTGTCATGTTTCATTTGTCAATATTAAGTAATTTTAATACCTGTTATAATACTTTGACCTCCATTAGTGGAGCGGGACGGGAACACTTGGTGTTTGTTTTTCTTTGAGTTTTCTGTTGCCCCTTCTGGTATCTTTTCTTTATTAACATCATATTATTCAATGAGAATCAGTGGAGCACGTTAGTCATTGCAGTATGTCCAGTCGTGTTAATTCATGGACATTCTTTGAATATAATGTGACAGGATTTCATCCAAGGAATTCTAAACATAGTGCATACAGGTTTACATGATGATGAAATATTGTATAATTAGTGTTTATAGGTTTACATAATGATAAAACATTGTATGATGAAACATTGTATACATATATATAGGGGTAAATTCAGTAAAAAATCTCCCATTGACTTTAATGCTAATCTATGTCTTGAATTAAATTTATACCTGATTTACCTTTAGAAATTGGAAGCTTTCATATATCATTCATGAAAGTACAAATGTAGCCCTATCTTTTGCAACAATAAAAACATAAGGTCATGCAGCATTTTTGGGCATTCACATGGCCTTGTTTACAAACACTGTAGATTCGCACTTAATTCCTATACTGACCCCCATTACTTTTCAACCTTGTAGTAAAAAAATTTAGTACATTCAGCATTCATTTTTTAATTTTTTTTAACTCTAGTTTTGATCCATCTATCAAAAAATATTTATTACAAACATTATCTACCAATCAAAAGAGCACAGGACTTCAGTTTTGTACAGAAAGCTCTCCCCCAAATGGGCGGTCCCTGATAACGTATATTTATTTACTGAATTTACCCCTATATATAGTGTATAGCGGTTTACATGCTGATAAAATATAGTATACATAGTGTATAGAGGTTTACATGCTGATAAAATATAGTATACATAGTGTATAGAGGTTTACATGCTGATAAAATATAGTATACATAGTGTATTGAGGTTTACATGCTGATAAAATATAGTATACATAGTGTATAGAGGTTTACATGCTGATAAAATATAGTATACATAGTGTATAGAGGTTTACATGCTGATAAAATATAGTATACATAGTGTATAGAGGTTTACATGCTGATAAAATATAGTATACATAGTGTATAGAGGTTTACATGCTGATAAAATATAGTATACATAGTGTATAGAGGTTTACATGCTGATAAAATATAGTATACATAGTGTATAGAGGTTTACATGCTGATAAAATATAGTATACATAGTGTATAGAGGTTTACATGCTGATAAAATATAGTATACATAGTGTATAAAGGTTTACATGCTGATAAAATATATTTTATATTTCAGAGAAACCCTTTCAACATGAGGTTACAGAATTTATCCAATCTACCAACAAACTCTATGTATAGATCTACATATAGGGCTCATAGCATGGCTGTTCATAGAGCAAAGTAAGTTATCACACCAGATCTACATATAGGGCTCATAGCATGGCTGTTCATAGAGCAAAGTAAGTTATCACACCAGATCTACATATAGGGCTCATAGCATGGCTGTTCATAGAGCAAAGTAAGTTATCACACCAGATCTACATATAGGGCTCATAGCATGGCTGTTCATAGAGCAAAGTAAGTTATCACACCAGATCTACATATAGGGCTCATAGCATGGCTGTTCATAGAGCAAAGTAAGTTATCACACCAGATCTACATATAGGGCTCATAGCATGGCTGTTCATAGAGCAAAGTAAGTTATCACACCAGATCTACATATAGGGCTCATAGCATGGCTGTTCATAGAGCAAAGTAAGTTATCATACCAGATCTACATATAGGGCTCATAGCATGGCTGTTCATAGAGCAAAGTAAGTTATCACACCAGATCTACATATAGGGCTCATAGCATGGCTGTTCATAGAGCAAAGTAAGTTATCATACCAGATCTACATATAGGGCTCATACCATGGCTGTTCATAGAGCAAAGTAGGTTATCACACCAGATCTACATATAGGGCTCATAGCATGGCTGTTCATAGAGCAAAGTAAGTTATCACACCAGATCTACATATAGGGCTCATAGCATGGCTGTTCATAGAGCAAAGTAAGTTATCACACCAGATCTACATATAGGGCTCATAGCATGGCTGTTCATAGAGCAAAGTAAGTTATCACACCAGATCTACATATACGGCTCATAGCATGGCTGTTCATAGAGCAAAGTAAGTTATCACACCAGATCTACATATAGGGCTCATAGCATGGCTGTTCATAGAGCAAAGTAAGTTATAACACCAGATCCATATATAGGGCTCATATCATGGCTGTTCATAGAGCAAAGTAAGTTATCACACCAGATCCACATATAGGGCTCATAGCATGGCTGTTCATAGAGCAAAAGTAAGTTATCACACCAGATCCACATATAGGACTCATAGCATGGCTGTTCATAGAGCAAAGTAAGTAATCACACCAGATCCACATATAGGGCTCATAGCATGGCTGTTCATAGAGCAAAAGTAAGTTATCACACCAGATCCACATATAGGGCTCATAGCATGGCTGTTCATAGAGCAAAAGTAAGTTATCACACCAGATCCACATATAGGGCTCATAGCATGGCTGTTCATAGAGCAAAGTAAGTTATCACACCAGATCTACATATAGGGCTCATAGCATGGCTATTCATAGAGCAAAGTAAGTTATCACACCAGATCTACATATAGGGCTCATAGCATGGCTGTTCATAGAGCAAAGTAAGTTATCACACCAGATCTACATATAGGGCTCATAGCATGGCTGCTCATAGCATGGCTGTTCATAGAGCAAAGTAAGTTATCACACCAGATCCACATATAGGGCTCATAGCATGGCTGTTCATAGAGCAAAGTAAGTTATCACACCAGATCTACATATAGGGCTCATAGCATGGCTGTTCATAGAGCAAAGTAAGTTATCACACCAGATCTACATATAGGGCTCATAGCATGGCAATTCATAGAGCAAAGTAAGTTATCACACCAGATCTACATATAGGACACATAGCAAGGCTATTCCTAGAGTTAAGTAAGTTATCACACCAGATCTACATATAGGGCTCATAGCATGGCTATTCATAGAGCAAAGTAAGTTATCACACCAGATCTACATATACGGCTCATAGCATGGCTGTTCATAGAGCAAAAGTAAGTTATCACACCAGATCTACATATAGGGCTCATAGCATGGCTGTTCATAGAGCAAAGTAAGTTATCACACCAGATCTACATATAAGGCTCATAGCATGGCTATTCATAGAGCAAAGTAAGTTATCACAACAGATCTACATGTAGGGCATGTAGCATAGCTGTTCTTAGAACAAAGTAACTTATCACAACAAATCTACATATAGGGCCCATTGCATGGCTGTTCATAGAGCTAAGTAAGTTATCACACAGGATCTACAAATAGGGCTCATAGCATGGCTGTTCATAGAGCAAAGTAAGTTATAACACCAGATCTACATATAGGGCTCATAGCATGGCTGTTCATAGAGCAAAGTAAGTTATAACACCAGATCTACATATAGGGCACATACATGTAGCATGGCTATTCCTAGAGAAAAGTAAGTTATCACACCAGATCTACATATAGGGCACATAGCATGGCTGTTAATAGAACAAAGTAAGTTATCACACCAGAAAGCAACTTATCTCTTTGATAGATTATTATGGAACCAGTGTTAAATACTTTACTTGGCTAATATAAAAGTTAACATGGAACCAGTGTTAAATACTTTACTTGGCTGATATAAAAGTTAACATGGAACCAGTGTTAAATACTTTACTTGGCTGATATAAAAGTTAACATGGAACCAGTGTTAAATACTTTACTTGGCTGATATAAAAGTTAACATAGAACCAGTGTTAAATACTTTACTTGGCTGATATAAAAGTTAACATGGGACCAGTGTTTAACACTTTACTTGGCGGATATAAAAGTTGCAAGATAATTAAATATTTGTACCAAATTTTAAAATGTATGGCTGTTGAAATGATAAATGCTGATGTCATGACTTCATAAAGACAACATTTGTACCCTTGTGAAATGTAGGAGGGAAAAAGCTTGTAAATTTGGTCCTGTTGACTGTGCATAAGATGTTTTGGGGATTATTATGAATTAAACTTGTTTTATAATTAAGAGAAAAGGTGCAATTTTTTTAGAGGCTGATATAAACACAAAAACTTATCTGGTAGGCTGCAAATTACTCATCAGTGACGCTCTTATAAATAAATAAAAGGCTAAATCAATTACGAAGTTGAAGAGTATTAAGGATCCAAATTTCTCAAAGGTAACTTCTTATACATGATATATAAGTAATACATAAGCTTCAGAAAAAAATTAATTTGAATATTGATCAACACTTACAGTTATCTCATAAAATTTGATTTTAATGAAATGTTGAAGATGAATGATTGATCATTGTAGGGCTGGTCTGATTACAAGTACAGCTAAAACATTGGACCTACTAAGACAAAATCTACAGAAATTTATAAACAAAGAAATAGATGTCATAGTCAAAGAGTATTTAGATGTAAGTTCATTTGCAATAGACCAACAGAACTTAAATGTAATTACATTACCACATAGTCAAACAGTACTTACATGTAATTATGTGACCACATAGCCAAAAAGTACTTAGATGTAATTAAATTTCTGAAAGTTCAAGCATTACCACATAATCAAACAGTACTTAGATGTAATTACATTTCCACATAGTCAAACAGTACTTAGATGTAATTACATCACCACATAGTCAAACAGTACTTACATGTAATTACATTGGCACATATTCAAACAGTACTTAGGTGTAAGTATATAGCCACATATATACACTGTACTTAGATGCAACTACATTATAACAAAGTTAAGCAGTACTTAGATTTCATTGCATTATACATAAAGATATACCATATAGTCTTGATCAAGATATATAGAGGTTAGCATATAGTCTTCATCAAGACATATAGTGGTTAGAATATAGTCTTGATCAAGACATATAGAGGTTTACATATAGTCTTGGTCAAGACATATAGTGATTAGCATATAGTCTTCATCAAGACAAATAAAGGTTTACATATAGTCTTCATCAAGACATATAGTGGTTTACTTATAGTCTTCATCAAGACATATAGAGGTTAGCATATAGTCTTCATCAAGACATATAGAGGTTAGCATATAGTCTTCATCAAGACATATAAAGGTTTACATATAGTCTTCATCAAGACATATTGAGGTGAGCATAAAGTCTTCATCAAGCCATATAGAGGTTAGCATATAGTCTTAATCAAGACATATAGAGGTTAGCATATAATCTTCACCAAGACCTATAGAGGTTAGCATATAGTCTTCATCAAGACATATAGAGATAACATATAGTCTTCATCAAGACATATAGAGGTTAGCATATAATCTTCACCAAGATATATAGAGGTTAGCATATAATCTTCCCTAAGACATATAGAGGTTAGCATATAGTCTTCATCAAGACATATAGAGGTTTACATATAGTCTTCATCAAGACATATAGTGGTTTACATATAGTCTTAGTCAAGACATATAGAGGTTTACATATAGTCTTCATCAAGACAGATAGAGGTTAGCATATAGTCTTCATCAAGACATATAGTGGTTTACATATAGTCTTGGTCAAGACATAAAGAGTTTTACAAATAGTCTTCATCAAGACATATAGAGATAACATATAGTCTTCATCAAGACATATAGAGGTTAGCATATAGTCTTAATCAAGACATATAGAGGTTAGCATATAATCTTCACCAAGACCTATAGAGGTTAGCATATAGTCTTCATCAAGACATATAGAGATAACATATAGTCTTCATCAATACATATAGAGGTTAGCATATAATCTTCCCCAAGACATAAAGGTTTACATATAGTCTTTATCAAGACATATAGAGGTTAGCATATAATCTTCACCAAGACATATAGAGGTTAACATATAGTCTTAATCAAGACATATAGAGGTAAGCATATAATCTTCACCAAGACATATAGAGATAGCATATAGTCTTCTTCAAGACATATAGTGGTTTACATATAGTCTTGGTCAAGACATATAGAGGTTTACATATAGTCTTCATCAAGACATTTAGAGGTTAGCATATAGTCTTCATCAAGATATATAGAGATAACATATAGTCTTCATCAAGACATATAGAGGTTAGCATATAGTCTTAATCAAGACATATAGAGATAACATATAGTCTTCATCAAGACATTTAGAGGTTAGCATATATTCTTCATCAAGACATATAGAGGTTTACATATAGTCTTCACCAAGACATTTAGAGGTTTACATATAGTCTTCACCAAGACATATAGAGGTTTACATATAGTCTTCACCAAGACATTTAGAGGTTTACATATAGTCTTCACCAAGACATTAAGAGGTTTACATATAGTCTTCACCAAGACATTTAGAGGTTTACATATAGTCTTCACCAAGACATTTAGAGGTTTACATATAGTCTTCATCAAGACATTTAGAGGTTAGCATATATTCTTCACTATAGACTGTATTTAACAGGACTCTAGAATCTGAGGTTCTTTTGGAAGATGTATACACTTACAAAGCTTGACTGTATTTAACAGGACTATAGAATCTGAGGTTCTTTTGGAAGATGTATACACTTACAAAGCTTGACTGTATTTAACAGGACTCTAGAATCTGAGGTTCTTTTGGAAGATGTATACACTTACAAAGCTTGACTGTATTTAACAGGACTGTAGAATCTGAGGTTCTTTTGGAAGATGTATACACTTACAAAGCTTGACTGTATTTAACAGGACTGTAGAATCTGAGGTTCTTTTGGAAGATGTATACACTTACAAAGCTTGACTGTATTTAACAGGACTGTAGAATCTGAGGTTCTTTTGGAAGATGTATACACTTACAAAGCTTGACTGTATTTAACAGGACTGTAGAATCTGAGGTTCTTTTGGAAGATGTATACACTTACAAAGCTTGACTGTATTTAACAGGACTGTAGAATCTGAGGTTCTTTTGGAAGATGTATACACTTACAAAGCTTGACTGTATTTAACAGGACTGTAGAATCTGAGGTTCTTTTGGAAGATGTATACACTTACAAAGCTTGACTGTATTTAACAGGACTGTAGAATCTGAGGTTCTGTAGAATCTGAGGTTCTTTTGGAAGATGTATACACTTACAAAGCTTGACTGTATTTAACAGGACTGTAGAATCTGAGGTTCTTTTGGAAGATGTATACACTTACAAAGCTTGACTGTATTTAACAGGACTGTAGAATCTGAGGTTCTTTTGGAAGATGTATACACTTACAAAGCTTGACTGTATTTAACAGGACTGTAGAATCTGAGGTTCTTTTGGAAGATGTATACACTTACAAAGCTTGACTGTATTTAACAGGACTGTAGAATCTGAGGTTCTTTTGGAAGATGTATACACTTACAAAGCTTGACTGTATTTAACAGGACTGTAGAATCTGAGGTTCTTTTGGAAGATGTATACACTTACAAAGCTTGACTGTATTTAACAGGACTGTAGAATCTGAGGTTCCTTTGGAAGATGTATACACTTACGAAGCTTGACTGTATTTAACAGGACTGTAGAATCTGAGGTTCTTTTGGAAGATGTATACACTTACGAAGCTTGACTGTATTTAACAGGACTGTAGAATCTGAGGTTCTTTTGGAAGATGTATACACTTACGAAGCTTGACTGTATTTAACAGGACTGTAGAATCTGAGGTTCTTTTGGAAGATGTATACACTTACAAAGCTTGACTGTATTTAACAGGACTGTAGAATCTGAGGTTCTTTTGGAAGATGTATACACTTACAAAGCTTGACTGTATTTAACATGACTTTAGAATCTGAGGTTCTTTTGGAAGATGTATACACTTACAAAGCTTGACTGTATTTAACATGACTTTAGAATCTGAAGTTGTTTTGGAAGAAATACAAACTTTCAAAGCTTGCCGCATTTAACATGACTTTAGAATCTGAAGTTCTTTTGGAAGAAATACAATCTCACAAAACTTGACTGTATATAACATGAATCTAGAATCTGAAATTCTTTTGGAAGAAATACAATCTTACAAAGCTTGACTGTATTTAACATGACTCCTTGGTTCTTTTTATAGAAGTTTTTCAAGCCTGGAATAGAGAATATAAAGAGCAATAATGGTGAGAATTCAGTAACAGATGAACATGTACAAGCTGTATGTAGACAGATTCTAGAGGAGGTAGGTTACTAGCAGTCATTGAACATGTACAAGCTTTATATAGACAGATTCTAGAAGAGGTATTTTACCAGGAGTCATTGAGCATGTACAAGGTGTATGTAGACAGATTCTAGAGGAGGTAGGTTAACAGTAGTCATTGAACATGTACAATCTGTATGTAGACAGATTCTAGAGGAGGTAGGTTACCAGTAGTCATTGAACATGTACAATCTGTATGTAGACAGATTCTAGAGCAGGTAAGTTACCAGGAGTCATTGAACATGTACAAGCTGTATGTAGACAGATTCTAGAGCAGGTTAGTTACCAGGAGTCATTGAACATGTACAAGCTGTATGTAGACAGATTCTAGAGGAGGTAGGTTACCAGTAGCCATAGGGTTAGCTAGCTATTAAATATATATATATAAACCAGGTTTAATCCACCATTTTCTATGTAAGGAAATGCCTGTACCAAGTCAGGAATATGACAGTTGTTTTCCATTCGTTTGATGTGTTTGAGCTTTTGTTTTGCCATCTGATAAGGGATTTTTTTATTAGAATTTTCCTTGGAGTTCAGTATTTTTGTTATTTTACTTTTTCCTACTACATGCACTCTAACCTTAACCTAAAAGTGTTTTATGTAGCAAAAATCTATATTAATATGAATTAAAGAAAATGTAGATTTTGAGAGCATAAATGCCAAAAAGGTCAACTTGGCCTTAAATTTATAACAACTAGAAGATGCCCGCGAAAACGCGGTACAATTGGGCAAGTGTTGAAACAAAGAGTTTTTAAATTTCCCGGGTAGTACGTGGACTGAGCATGCGCAAAAGCGTATAAGACACGGATCGATAACTGTCTCGGCATTGGGTTATTTTCTCAAAAATTGGCGTTTTCTGTGGAAAAAAGATTGGTTCAAAGACAAATTTAGGAAGTAAAAAAAACTACATTTATACGTCATATCGCAAATATTTCCGACTTTGTATGGTTTCAGAGGAGATGCGGCTCAATGAAATCTGTCTCTTCCTTTAGTAGTATAGATTACTTATTTTTATATATAATTTTACAAAGTACAGTACATTTATAATTAAAAAATGTGAAATCTGTAACTAGGTGTTGTGTTTTAGTGTTCCATTTGGTAAATATGTATCAAGAATACTTCATATAAACACTACTCACTCCCTAAAGTTTACCACACATTATTTTGGAGTAATATGGGAGAAATAAATCAATATTTTTTTAATATACTTGTCAATTCTTTTTTTTAACTTTTTACAGGGCCAGGTTACAGTATCAATCACTCGTGGTGCATGAAGTCTAATTAAGCTTTTAAGACATATCAATATTCAGTCAGATTAAAATCATACCTCTCACTTGCTATTGTTTATTTATATGTCACGCGTGGGAGCTTAACATTTAAGAAAACTAGAGCCATTTGACAGCAGTTTATAATTAGATATAGGATGATATAGGCATTTATCAATCTCAATCTAATTTGATGTAATATTTACATTTTCTTTGCAGGCAAAAAAGATGTACACTACAGAACAAAGGAGTACCACACCTGTACGAGATGAGAATACAGTAAGTTATTTATCCCATAGTGGAGAGGTCTATAGGGGAGGCTCACTACAGGTGATAGGGGGGATACACAACAGAACAAAGGAGTACCACACCTGTACGAGATGAGAATACAGTAAGTTGTTTTATCCCATAGTGGAGAGGTCTATAGGGGAGGGTCACTACAGGTGATAGGGGGACACACAACAGACAGAACAAAGGAGTACCACACCTGTATGAGATGAGAATAGAGTAAGTTGTTTATCCCATAGTGGAGAAGTCTATAGGGGAGGCTCACTACAGTTGATAGGGGGGACACACAACAGAACAAAGGAGTACCACACCTGTACGAGATGAGAATACAGTAAGTTGTTTTATCCCATAGTGGAGAGGTCTATAGGGGAGGGTCACTACAGGTGATAGGGGGACACACAACAGAACAAGGGAGTACCACACCTGTATGAGATGAAAATACAGTAAGTTGTTTTGTCCCATAGTGGAGAGGTCTATAGGGGAGGGTCACTACAGGTGATAGGGGGACACACAAAAGAACAAAGGAGTACCACACCTGTATGACATGAGAATACAGTAAGTTGTTTGTCCCATATTGGAGAAGTCTATAGGGGAGGGTCACTACAGGTGATAGGGGGACACACAAAAGAACAAAGGAGTACCACACCTGTGTGAGATGAGAATACAGTGAGTTGTTTGTCCCATAGTGTAGAGGTCTATAGGGGAGGCTCACTACAGGTGATTGGGGGACACACAAAAGAACAAAGGAGTACCACACCTGTATGAGATGAGAATACAGTAAGTTGTTTTGTCCCATAGTGTAGAGGTCTATAGGGGAAGGTCACTACAGGTGATAGGGGGACACACAAAAGAACAAAGGAGTACCACACCTGTATGAGATGAGAATACAGTAAGTTGTTTATCCCATAGTGTAGAGGTCTATAGGGGAGGGTCACTACAGATGATAGGGGCGACACACAACTGAACAATAGAGTACCACACCTGTATGAGATGCGGATATATATTATATAGTAAGTTGTTTGTCCCATAGTGGAGAGGTTCACAACCATACTTGCCAACTTATAATTTTTTCATGTGTAATATACACTATTAACATGTACTTCTCCTTTTACATGGGTGCACATAAATTTACCATCTTTACAAGCAATCACACACAATCTTGTATGTTTTGGTTAATCATTATGATACATGTTTTTTAGGTTTTTATTTTTATCCCAATACTCTGGTTTTTTCCATCTGGTCTATCGTAAATGTCAACTTCATGAATAGTTTCCACTCTAAACAAAATTTTTTTTAATTAACTTCCAGCTAAAAAGATGAACTAAACATTTAAAAACTAAAATTTATTTCTTACTTATTTAACATTTGAATATGAATTGCAGCCCATACCACTTAACAGAAAGAGAAATGCCTCTGATACAGATTCTGAGAAGAGTGTGCCATTTCAACCAAGAAAGGTCAGTAAATGAATAAATATTGTATAACAGAGAATGTTCTAATTATGTTGTAACAATCGTCTATCTGTTTTGCTCACACATGCATTGTTGTCAATATAATGGAATTCTATGCGACTGTCATACAAGTGAGAGGTTAAGCTAGCTATAAAACCAGGTTTAATCCACCATTTTCTACACAAGGAAATGCCTGTACCAAGTCAGGAATACGACAGTTGTTTTCCATTCGTTAGATGTGTTTGAGCTTTTGATTTTGCCATTTTATAAAGGACTTTCCGTTTTGAATTTCCCTTGGAGTTTGGTATTTTTGTTAATTTTCTTTTTTCTGTACAGATTACAGTCGAACCTCATTGTATCGAACTCATTTTTGTCCAAAACTCAGATAAGTCATGGTATTTTGTTGTTCCCAGCGGAATACCCCTTTGTTCAAGACATTTCTTACTCTAATGAGTCAAACTCGGTGGATATGATATCTTGATTAACTTGATTATATTGAAGTCCCATTGAAGAAAAATGGACACTAACTTTAATACCATGATGTGTCAAAGAAATTTTGGAAGGAAAAAAAAACAATTTCAGTTCGAAATAATGAATAAATGTTGAAATTGTAAGTTTTTAGGGTGCTTTAAAATAAGTTTACTAACTAGTTCAAGGTCAATCACTTTGTTTGTATAACAATCAGATTGGCATATTACACTTGATATTGTTTGTCCATAACTTTGATGTTTGACCATGACGAAAATTATGTTTGTGGAACACATTTTACCTGAGATAATTACTGAACGAATGAATAGACCCAAGCAGAGAAATTCATATAAGATCAATGATTAATGAAACTTATAATTAAACTGATCAAACTTTTGATCAGTTTAATTATAAGTTTCAAAATCAACATAAAAAAAATAGTAAAATATGAACAGGACATGCATGTTTTTTCAAGTTTAGGATATCAATATCCCTCTTGTTCCTCTGCTGAAAAATTATCATTTGATCAGTTGGTTGCTTCAATTTTACTCAGTTTTGAATCAAATCAATAAATGTATTTTTACTTCCATCTCACATATTGAATCTCTGAAACCGAAAAACAGCGAAAATCGTGAAGGGAGAAATGCACGTATGTCTATTCTTTAAGTCTGATATATTTTGTAAATAGGAAGTTAACCGCAAAGTTAAGGCTCGGTAATTTTTTAGTCAAATTGCTACTTCTTAAACAAAATAATTCATGGAACAATACGTTTTTACGGTTGTTGAAATAAAGATCGTGGAAAATTTTATCGTCTTTTATTTGTGTAAATATCCAGCTCTGTAAAAACGGTAAATCTGATTGGTGGGCAGGGCTTAGAATCACAACTTATGGATGCAGATTATTGTTTAATAATAATTCGCTATTCTCGATTGAAACAATAATGTCACTTTCTACAAGCAAAAACATTGAAAGATTGTATATTGAATGTTTTTCTCTTGTCATTAAAATTTGTATGTTTCCACCCACTTTATGACTCGCCAGAAGTCGTACAATGAGAGTCCCAAGCACATATTTACATTTTGCAAGTTGCAATATTTTTGTCCATAATGGGTCAGAAAAGAATTATAATTGAGAATGGAAATGGGGAATGTGTTAAAGAGACAACAACCCAACCAAGAGCAGAAAACAGACCAAGGCCACTGACTACTAGCAGTTACTGACATGCCAGCTCCAGACCTCAATTAAACTGATTGAAAGATTATGTCTTCGTCATACGAAAATCAAGTACAATTCCTCCCGTTAGTGGTTTAGTATCATACCATCATAAAATATATGAGAAAAACATAACCTGTATCATGCCAACAACTGGTTTAAGAATAAATGTGTTTATTTCCAATGCAAAGACCCTATGATCAGTGAATCAATATTAATTCCAAAAAATGCCATCTTTAATGACTTGAAAACAGTATCGTAACTATATCCCTTCTTAATAAGTCTGTTTATTAAGGTTTGTGATTTGTATAGAATATATATATATCCATAAAAGATGGGATGTGAAATACCTGAACGTATAAGATGTCTGAGCGTTGATTTATATTTACAAATAACGTCCTTCATATCTCTGCGTTGTTCATTAAATTTCTGACATTTCGAACGTATGTTTCAAAGGAAACTTGCTTTTGTTGTTTATATTCTACGACTCCAAAGCCGGAGTGAACACTGATGATGACTTCGTCTTTTTCAACATAAAGTTTTTCTTTAATACGAAAAATATTTTTTTACCCAAACTGTATCGTACAAATTGAATATTAGGTATTTAGTAACCAACAATAAATGTCGTTAAAATGACAATGTAGGTGTTCTGAACTTAGTTGTCAACAAGAACTCGGAAAAAATGGTGACGGCTATTTAAAAAAAAGTCATCATGTTAAAAGTATTAATGCATTGCCAAAACAAATAATTCATCAATGACAATTGAGTCAGATGTTCCCATACATATCCTGTTATATTGGATACAAATTTTATAAAGTCTGAAACAGCATTTCAACTGAGGTACTACACAGAGGGGTCAAAAGGCGTCATTATGGAGTAAAGGGGGTGGCGTCAATAGGCATCATTATAGAGGAAAGGGTTAAAAGATTAAGACTTGACCACAGCAGATAGCTGATAGTATATACATCTGTAATGATTTGTTTCTTTTTGCAAGAATACTGCATGTACTGTCGATACATATGGATTGGGATATTAAATACGTTTTCTGTCATTACATATCAGGCTGATAACATAAGGTACAATAATGCAATGATTCACCTTGATGGACTCAGGACCTCCAATGAGTCAAATAGTTATGTCATGTCCCTCAGATTACGACTGTACTTTTTTAAGGCTTTACACTTGATGGACTTGTGACCCCCAATGAGTCAAATAGTTATGTCAGGACCCTCCAACTATTACTGTACTTCTTTAAGGCTTGACACTTGGCGGACTTGTGACCTTCAATGAGTCAAATAGTTATGTCAGGTCCCTCCAACTATAACTGTACTTCTTTAAGGTTTGACACTTGGTGGACTTGTGACCCCCAATGAGTCAAATAGTTGTGTCAGGTCCCCCCGACTATTACTGTACTTCTTTAAGGGTGGACTTGCGACCTCCAGTGAGTCAAATAGTTATGTCAGGTCCCTCCAACTATGACTGTACTTCTTAAAGACTTGACACTTGCTCTTATTTTGCTCAGAAGAAGATTTTTTTAATGTATAGATAGTAGCATATACAAACTAAAATACTAATTAAAACAGGGCTGCATCAGACATCAAGTCTATATCAAATGATGATCTTACAGAGGATTGAGATGATATCTCCTTTCTAAAATACAGAACTGGATCAGTCACTGGATTTGGATTAATTGTGTTTTGACACTTGCTATCATCTAAATTTATTGTTTTATATCTTTCAGAAAAAGGGAAGGCCACCCATTTATTCCTCAGGGTAAGTAATAGTTTGTTATGACAGAACACCAGTTATTTCCTCAGAGTTAGTAGTATCTTGGTAAGACAGAACACCAGTTTATTCCTTGGGGTCGAATAGTAGTTTGTCATGGCAAACCTCCACCAATTTATTCCTTGGGGTTGAATAGTAGTTTTGATATAACAGACCACCCTGGGTAACTAGTATTTTGTTATGGCAGACCACCATTAATTAATTCCTCATTGCAAGTCATAGTTTGTCATAAAAAAACCTCACTTTATTCCTCAAGTACATGTAGTATGTAGTTTGTCATGAAAAAACCCCTCTTTATTCCTCAAGTAGTATGTAGTGTGTTCATATAGGAATAATCCTATTTATCTATATTAGCCGGATTTCATGGTTGTATATTAACACTATTGGAGCATTAAAATCTCAATATATGTGGTTTTTACAGGAGATCTACACCATCCAAACCAGCCAAAGCAAATGAGCCTGTCAAAAGAGAAGGCCCTAAGGTAACTGATCACTACCATCAATTTGTCACAGTCATCACATGACCAAGGACTTCAGTAAATGACTCATATAGCTGTTTTAATCCCATATCACTAAAAAGTCTGAAATAATTCCTATATGTGCAAGTGTTTTCCTTGATAGTATAATCTGACTAGGACTGTTTAACACAAGTCCAAACAAAAGTAAGGAATTTCATGGATGAAAAGGTAGGTAAACTATTGGTGTTTTGTGTAAAATAAATAATCCTTTTGAGAAAAAACTGTTGATAATAATTAGGATCTCAAAAATACCTGACAAATGAGCAGAGAGCAGAAAGAGCTCCTTATTTGTTTCAAGATTTATTTTACGCTTAAACAATTACAATGAAGAGGGAAAGAGATTCTAATTATCTGACCTTTGAACTTTTAAGAACCTTTATATTTAACCTTACCTGACAACACTTTTCAGAACCTAACGTTTTTCATTAATGTCTGAGTATACCTGAAATATTTGTCACTGATCATTACACAAGCAGTAATCAGTCAATCATGTTCTGATTACAGTGGGATTCTAACAGACTGGATTCTAATACACAATACATAATGGGAGCCAGGGCAAATAAGTAAGTATAAAATGTGTAATTGCTTATTGTTTTGAAAAACATTTCTTGCTAAAAAAATTATCATTGTTATATATATAAGTCCCAATCGAGAGCATGTTGAAGATGAGACAGAAATATATGCTCTTTAGCAATGTATTGTCTAAACTGGATCTATTCCAAGATGCAAGCTTTATTTGTAATTCAACAGAAAACACATATCGATTTAAACTTAATCATTGTTAATAGAACATTATAGGATAATTCTAAATGAACAACTTTGTTTGAAAAGTTCTTCAATTGTCTTCTCAATCAGGTTTTCTAGACCTTTTTGTATAAAAAGTAATATATTTGTTGAACAATTATTTGTCTTTAATGATTGGTTAACGACAAATTTATTTTACTCACGAAGTGGTACTAACCATATGTGGATTCTTAAAAATTCTAAAGAACTTCTGGACAATTTTAAATCTCGGTCTATTTCTGAAATTAATTCTAACATAACTTTTGATTTTTTAACCCTGTATACCAACATTCCCCATGTGAAATTATAAAATTGTTTTGAATAAACATTGAACGACAAAATTTCTTCTTATGTGACATTTACATTTTCTGACGCCAGACACGTGAAGCAATGAATGTGGTTTTTAATTTGATAGATGCTTTTGTGCTTTTTTGTATATGATTGTTTGGTTTGATATTGTAACACAGTGATGACTGCTGTACCCATATTTTGACTATTGTATTTATTATGTCTGTTTTGTTCACGCATTGTTGTAAATATAACGGAATTTGATGAGACTGTCATACAAGTGAGAGGTTTAGCACTATAAAACCAGGTTCAATCCACCATTTTCTACATTTGAAAATGCCTGTACCAAGTCAGGAATATGACAGTTGTTGTCCATTCGTTTGATGTGTTTTGTCATTTGATTTTGCCATGTAATAAGGTACTTTCCGATTGAATTTTCCTCGGAGTTCAGTATTTTTGTGATTTTACTTTTTATCACTTCATATTTGTTTTGTTAAGAATGATATTTCTACCAATTCTTCTAATAACTCTCCAATGAGAAGTTATAATTGATATATTTTATATTTTACAGAGCACTAGGATTAGGGGCCACCAGAGGTAGAATATATATAAAACATCCTGATGTATTTAAGGTAAATAATTATATAATAGATACTGTCACATAATTTATTATTGTTTATGTTCTCCATTAGATAATCAGTGTCACAGAATTACTTGGTGTCAATGTTCTCCATTGAATAATCAGTGTCACAGAATTACCTGGTGTAAATGTCCTCTATTGAATAATCAGTGTCACAGAATTTCTTGGTGTAAATGTTCTCCATTGAATAATCAGTGTCACAGAACTACTTGGTGTAAATGTTCTCCATTTGATAATCAGTGTCACAGAATTACCTGGTGTAAATGTTCTCCATTAAATAATCAGTGTCACAGAATTACCTGGTGTAAATGTTCTCCATTAGATAATCAGTGTCACAGAATTACCTGGTGTAAATGTTCTCCATTGAATAATCAGTGTCACAGAATTACTTGCTGTAAATGTTCTCCATTAGATAATCAGTGTCACAGAATTACCTGGTGTAAATGTTCTCCATTGAATAATCAGTGTCACAGAATTACCTGGTGTAAATGTTCTCCATTGAATAATCAGTGTCACAGAATTACCTGGTGTCAATGTTCTCCATTGAATAATCAGTGTCACAGAATTACCTGGTGTCAATGTTCTCCATTGAATAATCAGTGTCACAGAATTACCTGGTGTAAATGTTCTCCATTGAATAATCAGTGTCACAGAATTACCTGGTGTCAATGTTCTCCTTTGAATAATTAGTGTCACTGAATTACCTGGTGTCAATGTTCTCCATTAGATAATCAGTGTCACAGAATTACCTGGTGTCAATGTTATCCATTGAATAATCAGTGTCACAGAATTACCTGATGTAAATGTTCTCCATTAGATAATCAGTCACAGAGTTACCTGGTGTCAATGTTCTTCATTGAATAATCAGTCACAGAATTACCTGTTGTAAATGTTCTCCATTAGATAATCAGTGTCACAGAAATACCTGGTGTAAATGTTCTCCATTGAATAATCAGTGTCACAGAATTACCTGGTGTAAATGTTCTCCATTGAATAATCAGTGTCACAGAATTACTTGGTGTAAATGTTCTCCATTAGATAATCAGTGTCACAGAATTACCTGGTGTAAATGTTCTCCATTGAATAATCAGTGTCACAGAATTACCTGGTGTAAATGTTCTCCATTAGATAATCAGTGTCACAGAATTACCTGGTGTAAATGTTCTCCATTGAATAATCAGTGTCACAGAATTACCTGGTGTAAATGTTCTCCATTAGATAATCAGTCACAGAGTTACCTGGTGTCAATGTTCTTCATTGAATAATCAGTCACAGAATTACCTGTTGTAAATGTTCTCCATTAGATAATCAGTGTCACAGAAATACCTGTTGTAAATGTTCTCCATTGAATAATCAGTGTCACAGAATTACCTGGTGTCAATGTTCTCCATTGAATAATCAGTGTCACAGAATTACCTGGTGTAAATGTTCTCCATTAGATAATCAGTCACAGAGTTACCTGGTGTCAATGTTCTTCATTGAATAATCAGTGTCACAGAATTACGTGGTGTAAATGTTCTCCATTAGATCATCAGTCACAGAATAACCTGGTGTAAATGTTCTCCATTAAATAATCAGTGTCACAGAATTACCTGGTGTAAATGTTCTCCATTGAATAATCAGTGTCACAGAATTACCTGGTGTAAATGTTCTTCATTAAATAATCAGTGTCACAGAATTACCTGGTGTAAATGTTCTCCATTAAATAATCAGTCACAGAATTACCTGGCGTAAATGTTCTCCATTTAATAATAGGTGTCACAGAATTACCTGGTGTCAGTGTTCTTCATTGAATAATCAGTGTCACAGAATTACCTGGTGTAAATGTTCTCCATTAGATCATCAGTCACAGAATAACCTGGTGTAAATGTTCTCCATTAAATAATCAGTGTCACAGAATTACCTGGTGTAAATGTTCTCCATTGAATAATAAGTGTCACAGAATTACCTGGTGTAAATGTTCTTCATTAAATAATCAGTGTCACAGAATTACCTGGTGTAAATGTTCTCCATTAGATAATCAGTCACAGAATTACCTGGCGTAAATGTTCTCCATTGAATAATCAGTCACAGAATTACCTGGTGTAAATGTTCTCCATTAGATAATCAGTCACAGAATTACCTGGTGTAAATGTTCTCCATTAGATAATCAGTCATAGAATGACCTGGTGTAAATGTTCTCCATTGAATAATCAGTGTCACAGAATTACCTGGTGTCAATCTCCATTAGATAATCAGTCACAGAGTTACCTGGTGTCAATGTTCTCCATTGAAAAATTAGTGACGTAGAATTACCTGGTGTGAATGTTCTCCATTGAATAATCAGTGTCATAGAATTACCTGGTGTAAAAGTTCTCCATTGAATAATCAGTGTCATAGAATTACCTAGTGTAAATGTTCTCCATTGAATAATCAGTGTCACAGAATTACGTGGTGTAAATGTTCTCCATTGAATAATAAGTGTCATAGAATTACCTGGTGTAAATGTTCTCCATTGAATAATCTGTGTCACAGAATTACCTGGTGTAAATGTTCTCCATTAAATAATCAGTGTCACAGAATTACCTGGTGTCAATGTTCTCCTTTGAATAATCAGTGTCACAGAATTACCTGGTGTCAATGTTCTCCATTGAATAATCAGTGTCACAGAATTACCTGGTGTCAATGTTCTCCATTAAATAATCAGTGTCACAGAATTATCTGGTGTAAATGTTCTCCATTGAATAATAAGTGTCACAGAATTACCTGGTGTCAATGTTCTCCTTTGAATAATCAGTGTCATAGAATTACCTGGTGTCAGTGTTCTCCATTGAATAATCAGTGTCACAGAATTACCTGGTGTCAATGTTCTCCTTTGAATAATCAGTGTCACAGAATAACCTGGTGTCAATGTTCTCCATTGAATTGTCAGTGTCACAGAACTACGTAGTGTAAATGTACTCCATTGAAAAATCAAGTTCACAGAATGACGTTGTGGAAGAGTCTAGAGGCCCAATTTGAATTTGATTTGTTTTTCAGAATGCTGTTGATCACAGTATAATGAAAAAAATGGCTATATGATAACTGAGGAGAGTGTTTTGAGCTGTTCGAGTTTTAATTTGAATGCTTGTTTTATTTCAGTATTGTGGTGCCTAGCTATGATGAAAACAATCATTATGGCTATATGAATACTGAGGAAAGAAGTTTAAGCTGTGTAGAGTTGTTATTTGAATACTGTTTTTTCAGTATTGTTGTGACCAGGACTATAAACAATGGCTATTTGAGAACTGAGGACAGTTGTATGAGCTGTTTAGAGTTATCATTTGAATGATGTTTTTTTTGCAGTATTGTAGTGACCAGGACGATAAACAATAGCTATATATATATGAGAACTGAGGGCAGTAGTTCGAACTGTTTAGAGTTTTAATTTGAATGATTGTTTTTTTTTCAGTATTGTGGTGACCAGGACAATAAACAATAGCTATATGAGAACTGAGGACAGTAGTTTGAACTGTTTAGAGTTGTAATTTGAATACTGTTTTTTAGCTCAACTTTCCTTAAAGTAAATGTGAGCTTTTGCCATCACTTAGCGTCCGTCGTCATCCCTAGGATGTAAACGGTTTTAAAGATCTTCTCCTCTGAAGCTATTGAACCAATTCTAATCAAACTTTAGCTGAATGATCTAGAATAGAGTTTGTGTTTTATTTTCTGTTTCGTCAAAAAACATGGCCACCATGGCTAAAAATAGAACATGGGGTAAAATGCAGTTTTTGGTTCATATCTCAAAAACTAAAGCATTTAGAGCAAATCTGACATGGTTAAAATTGTTCATTAGGTCAAGTTCTATCAGCCCATGAAATTTTGGGATGAATCTAACAACCCATTGTTGGGTTGCTGCCACTAAATTGGTAATTTTAAGGAAATTTTGCAATTTTTGGTTATTATCTTGTATATTATTATAGATAAAGATACACTGTAAACAGCAAAAATGTTCAGCAAAGTAAGATCTACAAATAAGTGTAATGACAAAAATTGTCAATTGACCCCTTAAGGAGTTATTGCCCTTTAAAGACAATTTTTCACAATTTGTTCATCTAGTTTGCTTACTTTAAAAAATCTTCTCCTTTGAAACTGCTGAATCAATTTCAGCCAAACTTGGTCTGAATGAGTTTCAGATTATCTAGTATAAATTTTGTATTTTATTTCCTTGTACGTCAAGAAACATAGCCACTATGGCTAAAATGGAACGTAGGGATAAAATACATTTTTTTGCTTTGAAGAAAATATGACAGATACAATGAACATTTAAATGGCATTTTTAAGCCACTCATTAATATATATAAAAAAGCAAAAATAATCATTGATGAAAGGTTTAAGCAAAAAATTAAAGATGATCGATTCAGGCTCTTGAGAGCCTCTTGTTTTTTTTTCAGTATTGTGGTGACCAGGACGATAAACCATGGCTATATGAGAACTGAAGACAGTTGTATGAGCTGTTTAGAGTTGTAATTTGAATACTGTTTTTTTTTTTTTTTTTTTTAGTATTGTGGTGACCAGGACGATAAACAATGGCTATATGAGAACTGAGGGCAGTAGTATGAGCTGTTTAGAGTTGTAATTTGAATACTGTTTTTTTTTTTTTTTTTTTAGTATTGTGGTGACCAGGATGATAAACAATGGCTATATGAGAACCATAAGATGCCAGCTACTGGTGGGAAAGCTTACATGATGTTACTTGAGGATGTTAAAGACCTGGCTGAGGATGATGAATATAGGTAATTTATGTGACTATCTTAATTTTAATAATCCTGAAAGGGGACTAACACAGTAGCAGTCTTGTAGCTTTGATCATGAAAGGGGACTAACACAGAATCAGTCTTCTGGCCTGAATCCTGGTATGGGACTTAAGTGTAATCGGTTATATAGCCTAAATCTTGATAGGGGCTAAAAAAGAATAATTCAAGTAACCTTAATGGAGGGACTGTGTTGAGCCTTAAAAGGAAATGAGACACAACTTTCTATTGCAATGCATTGTGTTATATGAAAGATATTTCACCACTATATTCCTGTTTAGTTGTAAAAACAAATGACATGGCACTTTCTGGGGATAATTCTTTGTACAGCTGTTTCAATACATTATTCTAATTATTTAGTCAGAAGTTAAAAAATAGTCCCTTTAGTTAATTTTGATTTAAAGTAACAATGGCCATCTTGGTTGGCAGTATAAAAATTGGTCATGTCTGCACAATAATCAAACTTTGGACAGTTGTGTCAATATGAAAATAGGCCATGTGTACAAAATAATAAAATGTGGACAGTAACATCAATATAAAAATAGGTCAAGTGTGTACAATAATGAAATGTGGACAGTCACTTCCGTATAAAAAAGGCATTTTTGCGCCTGTCCAAAGTCTAGAGCCTCTGGCCTTTTAGGCTTGTATGTTTTTTTTAAATTTTGGATCATATATATGTTTCAGAGTTTAGTGTGATGTCCATTTTTCGTTGAACTAGAACACATTTTTGTTTAAGGCCAGCTGATGCCAGCCTTGGGTGCAGGATTTTCTCGCTGTGTTGAAGACCCATTGGTGGCCTTGGGCTGTTTTCTGCTCTTTGGTCGGGCTATTGTCTCTTTGACACATTTCCTATTTCCATTCTCAATTTTATTGTTTGTATATCTTATGTTTTAGAAACAATGCCAATGTTATGATGGATGAAATAGTAGGATTCTGTATTCCTGATTGGATGACGGAAAAGGTCAAAGTTCAAATGGAAAGTCTCAGAACAGACAAGGCCAAACAGCGTAGTAGGTCAACAACTCCAAATGAAGGACAGCTTGGAATACAAGTAATTATATGTAACTGAGTATGATATTCAGATATCATCATTCAAATTAAGGTTTAACCCGAATCTGTGTACTAAATTATTGTCTTACATGATTTGAATATTTTTCAAAAGTTGTATCTTAAAGCTGACTAATTCTTATACAAATTTCCTTTCTAGCTCATTGTGTGCCACTGTCAGCTATGGCCATACTTTTGTGTTCCTCTTTCATAGTCTGTTAACTTATACATTTGTTTTTCCTCTGAAACTACTTGGCAAATTTAAACAAAACTTAGCCACTCCTTTTAGCCAAATAGTAAGCAAAATAAATCTAGGTCAATATGTATTCTTTGAAATTGTATAAATACAAGTTGACAGGAACTGCCTTTCAGACCTAATTACAAAAAAAAACCACATAAACGAACAGCATTCAAATGTCCTCCCCAGGTGCAGATTTTCAAACTTTAAACAGGTTGATGGTAAAATTTCTATGTCCCCAGCATCCCATTGCCGAGGAGGGGGAACAAAAAAATATGCTTCAAAATATTTGACTGTCTTCTCCTTTGAATATGCAATTGTTCAATATCTTAAGCAAAAGCATATTTGGTTTGCTTTTCACAATTATACTTATGTCTCTTTACTAGGATGGAAGTGATGTATATAAAGAAGATCTACCATTCTCTGCATTCAGTACTGCAAAAAGATCTCCACATAAGGAGGAAATACAGGTAAGATTATTCTCTGCATTCAATACTGCAAAAAAATCTCCACATAAGGAGGAAATACAGGTAAGTCCATTCTCTTCATTCACTACCACAGAAAGCTCTCCTCATAAGGAGGAAATATAGGTAAGTCCATTCTCTGCATTCAATACTGCAAAAAGATCTCAACATAAGGAGGAAATACAGGTAAGTCTATTCTCTACATTCAGTACTGCAAAAAGATCTCAACATATGGAGGAAATACAGGTAAGTTCATTCTCTGCATTCAATACTGCAAAAAGATCTCAACATAAGGAGGAAATACAGGTAAGTCCATTCTCTGCATTCAATACTGCAAAAAGATCTCAACATAAAAGGAGGAAATACAGGTAAGTCCATTCTCTGCATTCAGTACTGCAAAAAACTCTCCACAAAAGGAGGAAATACAGGTAAGTCCATTCTCTGCATTCACTACTGCAAAAAGATCTCCACATAAGGAGGAAATACAGGTAAGTCCATTCTCTGCATTCAGTACTGCAAAAAACTCTCCACAAAAGGAGGAAATACAGGTAAGTCCATTCTCTGCATTCAGTACTGCAAAAAACTCTCCACATAAGGAGAAAATACAGGTAAGTCCATTCTCTGCATTTAGTACTGCAAAAAACTCTCCACATAAGGAGGAAATACAGGTAAGACTATTCTCTGCATTCAGTACTGTAAAAAAACTCTCTGCATAAGGAGGAAATACAGGTAAGTCCATTCTCTGCATTCAGTACTACAAAAAACTCTCCTAATAAGGAGGAAATACAGGTAAGTCCATTCTCTGCATTCACTACTGCAAAAAATCTCTCCGCATAAGGAGGAATTACAGGTAAGTCCATTCTCTGCATTCACTACCGCAAAAAACTCTCCTCATAAGGAGGAAATACAGTTAAGACTATTCTCTTCATTCTCTTTATTCACTACCGCAGAAAACTCTCCACAAAAGGAGGAAATACAGGTAAGTCCATTCTCCTCATTCACTACAGCAAAAATCTCTCCACATAAGGAGAAAATACAGGTAAGTCCATTCTCTGCATTCAGTACTGCAAAAAACTCTCCACATAAGGAGAAAATACAGGTAAGTCAATTCTCCTCATTCACTACAGCAAAAATCTCTCCACATAAGGAGAAAATACAGGTAAGTCCATTCTCTGCAATCAGTACTGCAAAAAACTCTCCTCATAAGGAGAAAATACAGGTAAGTCCATTCTTTGCATTCAGTACTGCAAAAAACTCTCTGCATAAGGAGGAAATACAGGTAAGTCCATTCTCTGCAATCAGTACTGCAAAAAGATCTCCACATAAGGAGGACATACAGGTAAGTCCATGCTCTGCATTCAGTAATGCAAAAAACTTTCCACATAAGGAGGAAATACAGGTAAGACTATTCTCTAAATTCAGTACTGCAAAAAAAATCTCCACATAAGGAGGAAATACAGGTAAGTCCATTCTCTGCATTCAGTACTGCAAAAAACTCTCCACAAAAGGAGAAAATACAGGTAAGTCCATTCTCTGCATTCAGTACTGCAAAAAACTCTCCACAAAAGGAGGAAATACAGGTAAGTCCATTCTCTGCAATCAGTACTGCAAAAAACTCTCCACAAAAGGAGGAAATACAGGTAAGACTATTCTCTGCATTCAGTACTGTAAAAAACTCTCCACAAAAGGAGAAAAATACAGGTAAGTCCATTCTCTGCATTCAGTACTGCAAAAAACTCTCCACATAAGGAGAAAATACAGGTAAGTCCATTCTCTGCATTCAGTACTGCAAAAAAAACTCCACAAAAGGAGGAAATACAGGTAAGTCCATTCTCTGCATTCAGTACTGCAAAAAACTCTCCACAAAAGGAGGAAATACAGGTAAGACTATTCTCTGCATTCAATACTGTAAAAAACTCTCTGCATAAGGAGGAAATACAGGTAAGTCCATTTTCTGCATTCAGTACTGCAAAAAACTCTCCACATAAGGAGGAAATACAGGTAAGACTATTCTCTGCAATCAGTACTGCAAATAAATCTCCACAAGAGGAGAAAATACAGGTAAGTCCCTTCTCTGCATTCAGTACTGCAAAAAACTCTCCGCATAAGGAGGAAATACAGGTAAGTCCATTCTCTGCATTTACTACTGCAAAAAACTCTCCTCATAAGGAGGAAATACAGGTAAGTCCATTCTCTGCATTCACTACTGCAAAAAACTCTCCTCATAAGGAGGAAATACAGGTAAGTCCATTCTCTGCATTCACTACTGCAAAAAACTCTCCACAAAAGGAGAAAATACAGGTAAGTCCCTTCTCTGCAATGAGTACTGCAAAAAACTCTCAACATAAGGAGAAAATACAGGTAAGTCCATTCTCCTAATTCACTACTGCAAAAAACTCTCCACATAAGGAGAAAATACAGGTTAGTCCCTTCTCTGCATTCAGTACAGCAAAAATCTCTCCACATAAAGAGGAAATACAGGTAAGACTATTCTCTGCATTCAGTACTGCTAAAAACTCTCCTCATAAGGAGGAAATACAGGTAAATCTATTCTTTGCATTCAGTACTGTAAAAAACTCCGCATAAGGAGGCAATACAGGTAAGTCCATTCTCTGCATTCAGTAATGCAAAAAACTCTCCACATAAGGAGGAAATACAGGTAAGACTATTCTCTAAATTCAGTACTGCAAAAAAATTCTCCACATAAGGAGGAAATACAGGTAAGTCCATTCTCTGCATTCAGTACTGCAAAAAACTCTCCACAAAAGGAGAAAATACAGGTAAGTCCATTCTCTGCATTCAGTACTGCAAAAAACTCTCCACAAAAGGAGGAAATACAGGTAAGACTATTCTCTGCATTCAGTACTGTAAAAAACTCTCCACAAAAGGAGAAAAATACAGGTAAGTCCATTCTCTGCATTCAGTACTGCAAAAAACTCTCCACAAAAGGAGAAAATACAGGTAAGTCCATTCTCTGCATTCAGTACTGCAAAAAACTCTCCACAAAAGGAGGAAATACAGGTAAGTCCATTCTCTGCATTCAGTACTGCAAAAAACTCTCCACAAAAGGAGGAAATACAGGTAAGACTATTCTCTGCATTCAATACTGTAAAAAACTCTCTGCATAAGGAGGAAATACAGGTAAGTCCATTTTCTGCATTCAGTACTGCAAAAAACTCTCCACATAAGGAGGAAATACAGGTAAGACTATTCTCTGCAATCAGTACTGCAAATAAATCTCCACAAAAGGAGAAAATACAGGTAAGTCCCTTCTCTGCATTCAGTACTGCAAAAAACTCTCCGCATAAGGAGGAAATACAGGTAAGTCCATTCTCTGCATTTACTACTGCAAAAAACTCTCCTCATAAGGAGGAAATACAGGTAAGTCCATTCTCTGCATTCACTACTGCAAAAAACTCTCCTCATAAGGAGGAAATACAGGTAAGTCCATTCTCTGCATTCACTACTGCAAAAAACTCTCCTCATAAGGAGAAAATACAGGTAAGTCCCTTCTCTGCATTCAGTACTGCAAAAAACTCTCCGCATAAGGAGGAAATACAGGTAAGTCCATTCTCTGCATTTACTACTGCAAAAAACTCTCCTCATAAGGAGGAAATACAGGTAAGTCCATTCTCTGCATTCACTACTGCAAAAAACTCTCCTCATAAGGAGAAAATACAGGTAAGTCCATTCTCTGCATTTACTACTGCAAAAAACTCTCCTCATAAGGAGGAAATACAGGTAAGTCCATTCTCTGCATTCACTACTGCAAAAAACTCTCAACATAAGGAGAAAATACAGGTAAGTCCATTCTCCTAATTCACTACTGCAAAAAACTCTCCACATAAGGAGAAAATACAGGTAAGTCCATTCTCCTCATTCACTACTGCAAAACACTCTCCACAAAAGTAGAAAATACAGGTTAGTCCCTTCTCTGCATTCAGTACAGCAAAAATCTCTCCACATAAAGAGGAAATACAGGTAAGATTATTCTCTGCATTCAGTACTGCTAAAAACTCTCCTCATAAGGAGGAAATACAGGTAAATCTATTCTTTGCATTCAGTACTGTAAAAAACTCCGCATAAGGAGGCAATACAGGTAAGTCCATTCTCTGCATTCAGTAATGCAAAAAACTCTCCGCATAAGAAGGAAATACAGGTAAGTCAATCTCTGCATTCACTACTGCAAAAAACTCTCCTCATAAGGAGGAAATACAGGTAAGTCAATCTCTGCATTCACTACTGCAAAAAACTCTCCACATAAGGAGGAAATACAGGTAAGACTATTCTCTGCAATCAGTACTGCAAATAAATCTCCACAAAAGGAGAAAATACAGGTAAGTCCCTTCTCTGCATTCAGTACTGCAAAAAACTCTCCGCATAAGGAGGAAATACAGGTAAGTCCATTCTCTGCATTTACTACTGCAAAAAACTCTCCTCATAAGGAGGAAATACAGGTAAGTCCATTCTCCTAATTCACTACTGCAAACAACTCTCCACATAAGGAGAAAATACAGGTAAGTCCATTCTCCTCATTCACTACTGCAAAACACTCTCCACAAAAGTAGAAAATACAGGTTAGTCCCTTCTCTGCATTCAGTACAGCAAAAATCTCTCCACATAAAGAGGAATTACAGGTAAGTCCCTTCTCTGCATTCAGTACTGCAAAAAACTCTCCGCATAAGGAGGAAATACAGGTAAGTCCATTCTCTGCATTTACTACTGCAAAAAACTCTCCTCATAAGGAGGAAATACAGGTAAGTCCATTCTCCTAATTCACTACTGCAAAAAACTCTCCACATAAGGAGAAAATACAGGTAAGTCCATTCTCCTCATTCACTACTGCAAAACACTCTCCACAAAAGTAGAAAATACAGGTTAGTCCCTTCTCTGCATTCAGTACAGCAAAAATCTCTCCACATAAAGAGGAAATACAGGTAAGACTATTCTCTGCATTCAGTACTGCTAAAAACTCTCCTCATAAGGAGGAAATACAGGTAAATCTATTCTTTGCATTCAGTACTGTAAAAAACTCTGCATAAGGAGGCAATACAGGTAAGTCCATTCTCTGCATTCAGTAATGCAAAAAACTCTCCGCATAAGAAGGAAATACAGGTAAGTCAATCTCTGCATTCACTACTGCAAAAAACTCTCCTCATAAGGAGGAAATACAGGTAAGTCAATCTCTGCATTCACTACTGCAAAAAACTCTCCACATAAGGAGGAAATACAGGTAAGACTATTCTCTGCAATCAGTACTGCAAATAAATCTCCACAAAAGGAGAAAATACAGGTAAGTCCCTTCTCTGCATTCAGTACTGCAAAAAACTCTCAACATAAGGAGAAAATACAGGTAAGTCCATTCTCCTAATTCACTACTGCAAACAACTCTCCACATAAGGAGAAAATACAGGTAAGTCCATTCTCCTCATTCACTACTGCAAAACACTCTCCACAAAAGTAGAAAATACAGGTTAGTCCCTTCTCTGCATTCAGTACAGCAAAAATCTCTCCACATAAAGAGGAAATACAGGTAAGACTATTCTCTGCATTCAGTACTGCTAAAAACTCTCCTCATAAGGAGGAAATACAGGTAAATCTATTCTTTGCATTCAGTACTGTAAAAAACTCTGCATAAGGAGGCAATACAGGTAAGTCCATTCTCTGCATTCAGTAATGCAAAAAACTCTCCTCATAAGGAGGAAATACAGGTAAGTCCATTCTCTGCATTCAGTAATGCAAAAAACTCTCCTCATAAGGAGGAAATACAGGTAAGTCCCTTCTTTGCATTCAGTACTGCAAAAAACTCTCCACATAAGGAGAAAATACAGGTAAGTCCATTCTCCTCATTCACTACTACAAAACACTCTCCACATAAGGAGAAAATACAGGTAAGACTATTCTCTAAATTCAGTACTACAAAAAACTCTCCACATAAGGAGAAAATACAGGCAAGTCCTTTCTCTGCATTCAGTACTGCAAAAAACTCTCCACAAAAGGAGAAAATACAGGTTAGTCCCTTCTCTGCATTTAGTACAGCAAAAATCTCTCCACATAAAGAGGAAATACAGGTAAGTCCATTCTCTGCATTCAGTACTGCAAAAATACTCTCCACATAAGGAGAAAATACAGGTAAGTCCATTCTCTGCAATCAATACTGCAAAAAATTCTCCACATAAGGAGGAAATACAGGTAAGTCCATTCTCTGTATTCAGTACTGCAAAAAACTCTCCACAAAAGGAGAAAATACAGGTAAGTCCTTTCTCTGCATTCACTACTACAAAACACTCTCCACATAAGGAGAAAATACAGGTAAGACTATTCTCTAAATTCAGTACTGCAAAAAACTCTCCACAAAAGGAGAAAATACAGGTTAGTCCCTTCTCTGCATTTAGTACAGCAAAAATCTCTCCACATAAAGAGGAAATACAGGTAAGACTATTCTCTGCATTCAGTACTGCAAAAATACTCTCCACATAAGGAGAAAATACAGGTAAGTCCATTCTCTGCAATCAATACTGCAAAAAATTCTCCACATAAGGAGGAAATACAGGTAAGTCCATTCTCTGTATTCAGTACTGCAAAAAACTCTCCACAAAAGGAGAAAATACAGGTAAGTCCTTTCTCTGCATTCAGTACTGCAAAAAACTCTCCACAAAAGGAGAAAATACAGGTAAGTCCATTCTCTGCATTCAGTACTGCAAAAAACTCTCCACAAAAGGAGAAAATACAGGTAAGACCCTTCTCTGCATTCAGTACTGCAAAAAACTCTCCACATAAGGAGAAAATACAGGTAAGACTATTCTCTGCATTCACTAATGCAAAAAACTCTCCTCATTATGAGGAAATACAGGTAAGTCCATTCTCTGCATTCAGTACTGCAAAATACTCGCCACATAAGGAGGAAATACAGATAAGTCCATTCTCTGCATTCACTACTGAAAACACTACTGCAAAATACTCTCTGGGTAAAAAATACAATAAGAACCATAAGAAATATCTTTAGAATTATGAGTATACTGGGGGTCTAATAGATTAACTATGGCAGCTTAAAATTTGATGTCCAAATCTATTCAACATTGAATTATGTGAAACAGTAGAATACTAATGCTACTGACCTTATGTACGTATATTCTGATAAACTGAAATATTATTTTTCAGACCTCTCCAGGTGATACAGAAATGGAATTCCTGACAGGGGGAGATAATGAAGATCACAATAATTTATCTCCCTTTACTTTGACTGGTGGATTTGATGAAGGAATTTCACCCTCTGCCTCAGATTTAGATACGCTAGATGAAGCTCCACTCAGTGCTCCTTTTGACTTTACTAAATGATGATAGAAACACTAGGTGAAGCTCCACTCCGACCACCTTTTGTACATTCAGTACTAAATAATGGTAGAAACACGAAATGGAAATCTATTTGGTGTACCTTTTGATTTTACTAGATAATGATATACACTGATAAAAATCAATTCAGTATACCTTATGAGTTTAATAATTAAATAATGATAAGATACACTAGATGACGCTCCTTTCAGTGCACCTTTTGAATTTACTACATAATGATAGATACACTAGATGAAGCTCCATTCAGATGACCTTTTGACTTTACTACATAATGATAGATACACTAGATGAAGCTCCATTCAGATGACCTTTTGACTTTACTAAATAATGATAGATACTCAAGATGAAACTCTGTCAGAGCTCCTTTTGAGTTAACTAAATAAACTAAGATTTTCTTTGAAAAAATGGATAGTTGTGCAAGACAGATTTCAAAACAAGGCTAAGGGAAGCTTTGATGTTACTATTAGTGAAAAGACCAGTGTACTAGATTTGTATAGTTATTACTAAATAACAATTGTTTTTTATGTAAATGAATTTAGTTAATGATACTCTGTATAATATAAAATTTAACTGGTGTCCATTTATATTACCTTTTACATTTGAAATTTAACATTTTAGTCTAATATATATCTACCATCATTTAGAGAAACAAGAGGTAGCTTTAAGATAAGATTATATTTTGTTATACTTCATTTTGTTCTGCTAATATTTCCCAGGGTATATAGTACTTGCATATAAGGATACTATATGCCTGTGATGATGTTTTAAATCAATGTAAAAGTCATATGATAATGATGATACTTAAAATTAAAAAAAAATGAATGGCTGAGTTTTACTTTAAAACAAGTGTGAATGAACTTTCTTGTAAAAGAAAATCTTTTATCATATCAAAATCTTCAAAAATCTCCTGCTATTGAATAATTGTCCTCCCATACTCTTATTCGTTGATAGCTTTTCCATATTAGACTTCTCATTAGTACTTCAGCAACTGCTCAGCACAAGTGTGAGAAAAAACTGTGATGAAAGAAAGGCAAAAACATGCACTGGAAGGTAGATTGTGTAAATTGATTCTGAAATGATCAAAGTTTGATTAACAAATGGAAACCCATGGAATATATGAAAAAAAATGCAACATGGCTCTATCAACTCACTTATTTTTTATGTGCTCCATGATTATGTGTTGATTGCTTATTAAGGTCACAATCAGTAAACTTCGGCAACAAAAACCCGAAAGTTAATTAGAACCTAAAGTTTCCAATCGACAATCACTGAATGAAATATTTTTTTATTGATTATATGTTATGGATTTGTTATAAAGGTTTTTAAAAAAATAGCATAGAGGACTTAGTTTCATGTATATACATGCATAAGTTTTATAAATTCCTTAATATTATGATTACAAGTTTGTGGTATCATATGACTTTAACATTTTTCTGATTGAATGCCCAGGTAAATAAATAACTGTCAGCATATAACCAACAATGTTTTACATTGTGGAATATTGTACATAAACAAAATCTGTTTTTGATGGTTTTTATGTTTTTGCTTTATGATATCATACTTCTGTTTTTAAATGACTAAATGTGCAATAACGTTCAATAAATTAAAGAATTACAAAACTTTTAAATCTGTATTATGATAACGTTTCTTTCGCATTGACTATAATTTTATGTTTTTTTTGTTTTTTTTTTAAATATTTCCAAGAAGGCAGCTATTAGATTATCTTTCTTTTTATATAGGTAATACAGAGTGATTATAGTTGTATATAGTATTGTATATAAAGCTGTATTAAATCTGAATATGTTTACATCGATATCTCATAAGTAGCAAGAAACATAGATAGAAGAATATGTTGCAGACATTATTTTACAGATTTCTATTTAGTATATGTTCATATTACACTGTCCATGTGTGCTTTAATGCACAGATCCAGTATTATTGACATCCAGCAAAGAATTGTCATCAAATTAGAACTTATAATCATCACTAACTTGTAGTTAGGTACCTTAAAATGAATAACAGTCATAAAAACACTGTTTGTTTCAAGTTTTACAATTTTGAATCATAAATTCGTTAAACCAAATATCTTCTTTTGCATTTGTTTCTTCGTAGTCATTAGATTTTTGCAAAATTCTTGCTATTTTTTTACTTTCCTTCACAACATCTGAAAGGTTTGTGTCAAAGGTAAGACATAGGGAATCGTACATTCTGTAGTTATTGCCAATATCAACATTAAGGGTTAATCTGTGGTTAAAGTTTTTTAAGACATCAATACTTATGTCAAACTTTCATTAAATTCACAAAAGTTAAACAGAAACCATCTGGAGTGAAAACCAAAAAAAAGTAGACAGTTTTGGCAGATAACATTAAGATACAGTCTGGGGTCAAAGTTATTTAGACAACAATTTTGTTGAACCTTCATGAAATTTTAAAAAGCTGAACAGAAGCTTCTTCATTACCAAGGGATAGGTGTTCTTGTATCTTGCCTGCAATGAAAGTAGCAGAGTTCAAGACATAGGGATTACTATCCAACACAGAGGCGGCGGTGTTAACTTTTTGTATAACGCTTTATATTTAAGAATGAGGAAGACATAGATGCTTCATACTTTGTATCCAGATACCTTATGATACGAAGTCTCTGTTTGTCATATGAACATTGTCCTTCACCTATTTTTCAAGGTTCAGTGACTGCTTGAAAAAATATAGAACTTTTTTGTCATGTGAAATACTCACTGTTTATGATTAAAAAGATAACTTTATTCAGTATCTATAGGGTTAATACATGTCTGTCTGCCTGACCTCGACCTCATTTCATGGATGAGTGATCAAGGTTAAGTTTTTGTGGTAATGTCTGTATCTAAGATACTGTAAGCAATATTTTAACGATATTTGGTGTATGGATTAATTGTAGGGTGAACATGTCTGTCTGGCAGGTTTTATATGACCTTGACCTTATTTTCATGGTTCATTGGTCAATGTTAAGATTTCATAGTTATGTCTGTTTCTCCGATGCTATAAGCAATAGGCTAACTATATTTGGTGTATGGTATGATTGAAAGGTGTACATGTTTGTCTGGTAGGGTTGATTTGACCTTGACCTCATTTACATGGATCATTGATAATGTTAAGTTTTTTGATACTTGTAGTAAAACCTTCATATTAGATAAGTTAAGCAGGCAAAACATTTTAGCATGTGCACTCTTGTTTCTGTATTTAACTGGTCTATGAACTAATTTTTTTGGCAGTAAATATTACACTTTTACACTGACAGAAGCAGTCACAGGGTACACATGGTTCTATGAAAACCTTCACAAATGTTTTGTATATATAAGACCTTTTACTGTAAAAGCATGCCTTGATAATTATTGTAAGTTACATTATTTGAAATTTGATGGGAATTTTTCCCTCAAGAAAGATTATCTTTCTGACAATGCTACCAAGTTATTATTAAAGATCGTTTAGAATTTAAAGTTTTATGGATTTTAATTGTTAATAAGTATATTTTTTTGTTTTAAGAATTTTATTGTTAATGAGTATTTTTTTTTATGCAGTATATGTTTACTCAGTTACAGACTATTCTTTTTTAATCATTAAAAGTGTAATCACTTATTTCTTTGATTATTTATTAAATTTGACCTATTCTTATCTTTCAGATCATCCATGTACACATTTTCCAAAGTAACGCAAGAGCACATGTTAGAAGTAAGCTCAATTTTGAGTTTGACATTTATGACTTTGTTATTTCAGTTTTGTTATTTGAAAATCTTGAATTTACCCCAGAAAGTTTAAATGTAAATGTTATGGTTTATTCATTATGACAATGATATCAAAGAGAGGTAAATATTAGGTCATATTATGACCATAACATCTAGAGATCAAAATAAGCTCACATTATGACAATAATACCATCTAGATGTAAATATGAGGTCACAGTATGACAATGATACCATCTAGAGGTAAATAGGTCAAATTATAACCATAACATCTAGAGATCAAAATAAGCTCACATTAACAATGATACCATCTAGCTTTATAGTGGTAAATATGAGGTCCCATTATGACCATAACATCTAGAGATCAAAATAAGGTTACATTATGACAATAATACCATCTAGAGGTAAATATGAGGTCACACTATGACCATAACATCTAATGAGCAAAATAAGGTCACAATATGACAATGATACCATCTAGAGGTAAATATGAGGTCACATTATGACCATAACATCTAGAGATCAAAATAAGCTCACATTATGACAATGATACCATCTAGAGGTAAATATGAAGTTCCATTATGACCAGTACATCTAGAGATCAAAAATAAGGTCACAGTATGACAATGATACCATCTAGAGGTAAATAGGTCAAATTATAACCATAACATCTAGAGATCAAAATTAGGTCACATTATGACAATGATACCATCTAGAGGTAAATATGAGGTCCCATTATGACCATAACATCTAGAGATCAAAAATAAGCTCACATTATGACAATAATACCATTTAGAGGTAAATATGAGGTCCCATTATGACCAGTACATCTAGAGATCAAAAATAAGGTCACATTATGACAATGATACCATCTAGAGGTAAATATGAGGTCACATTATAACCATGACATCTAGAGAGCAAAATTAGGTCACATTATGACAATGATACCATCTAGAGGTAAATATGAGGCCACATTATAACCATTACATCTAGAGAGCAAAATAAGCTCACATTATGACAATGATACCATCAAGCTTTAAAGAGGTAAATATGAGGTCACATTATGACCATAACTTCTAGAGATCAAAACAAGGTCACGTTATGACCATGATAATATCTAGAGGTCAAAATAAGGTCACATTATGACAATGATACCATCTAGTGGACAATATGCAGTACGTTATCTGGTCTCTGTTGAAGAGTTGTCTCATTGTCAATCAATCCACATCTTCTTAATTTTCATATTATGATAATTAAATTTTTCTCAGATAATAACATAATTTTCATTGCATATTGAAACAAATAATAGTTTAGACAACCTTCATTAAACATGTTAGATATACTTAAGACCAAAAGCTTGGACATCCTTCATTAGATATAATTGAGACTTATAGTCTGGACTAATGGTTTGGACAACCTTCATTAAAATAAATTAGTTCACATGCCGAAATTGTCAACCGACTCCTTATAAGAGTGAAAGCCCCTGAATGATAAGTTTTACATATTTTTGCATTTTTTGCAGAAACCATTTAGATACGAGAGAAACTGAAAATAGGCAAAAAGTTACGCACAATTAGATCTACAAATTAGTTAATATGGCCGAAATTGTCACCGACTCCGTATGAAGTTATTTCTCTTTAAAAGATGATTTTTACCCATTTCTGCTTTTCTTTACAGAAACCGTAATAGACGGAAGTTAAATGGCAGAGATGTTAAGCACAATAAAATCTACAAATAAGACAATGTGGCAGAAATTGTCAAATTACTCCTTATAGGAGTGATTGCCCCGTAATGACCATTTTACTCATTTTTTTTTGTAGAAACTATTTGAGGGAGAGTGCAATTATTAATATCAAAACATTTCTGTAAAATAAGATCTACAATAAAGTAACATAGTTGAATTCAACAATTGACCCCTTAACGAAGTTATTACCCGTGCATGAAAGATGATTTTCACCATTTTTTGCAGAACCTATAAAAGATAGAGAGAAACATTATCCAATAAAAATGTTCTGCGCAATAAGATCTACAGACAAGGCAACATGGCTGTAATTGTCAACTGACTCCTTATTAGCGTTATTTCCACTGAATGATGAATTTTTACCAATTTTTTGCAATTCTTGTCAAAACTAAACAATAAAAGCACTGATCCTTTGCTTTATGTGCGTGTGCAATACGCTGTTACTTTATAAGGTAACATTTATTAGAAAATAAGATCTACTTAAAAGTCAAATGTGTAAAATCGTCTGACTCATAGGATGTATTGCCCTAAAATGATGATATCTTTAAATTTTCATAATGTTGCCTATCATTTCTAAAATTTAATAGATACGTGTAGGTTTAAACTGTAAACACCAGTATTGATCATCAATAAAGATTTACAAACTTCCACTGCTAATGGAATATTTTTACCAGAAGAGCGACTCAGGCAGCCTCTTGTTCACATTTTTATTTCTATATATTTAAACGTTAAGTAAAGACCATTTTCAATACTTTTAGAAACATTAGGTGCTGCCCATCCATTGAGTATTTGGTCCATATGTTTATACATAGTCTAGTTTGCCATTGATGGATTGATTTGGTTTACAACAGATCCTTGTTAGTCCGTCAAATTGATAAAAATTAAAACAACAAAAATATCGAACTCAAAGGAAAATTCAAAACGGAAAGTCCCTTAATAGTTATCAAAGGTACCAGGCTTATAATTTGATACGCCAGACGCGCGTTTCATCTACATAAGACTCATCAGTGACGCACAATTGGCAAAATCAAAAGCTCAAAAACATCAAACGAATGGAAAACAACTGTCATATTCCTGACTTGGTACAGGCATTTCATTATGTAGACAATGGTGGATTAAACCTGCTTTGAAAGCAAGTGATAAATCTCTCACTTGTATGACAGTCGCATAAAATTCCATTATATTGACAACAATGTGTGAACAAAACAAACAGACATAATAGGTAAAAATTTCAAAAGTAGGGGTACAGCAGTCAACATTGTATTATAATCTCAATCACTATAAAAACAAACAAATATGTTTACAAAGAAAAACAAAATTGCATATAGACAAAGCACATACGCAAAAATGAAACACAAGAATACAAAATTGACCACAGCACAACAACACAATGGCGGGATGTACAAGTACCGAGCCACGCCTAAAGGATATTACCAAAATTGGATCAAACAGTAAACGTTAATAATTTACAAAGACAAATAAAAGATCACTATAACACGTAATTAAGATGATAAACAACGCCAGTACCTAAAATCTATACCATCATGTATTATTTGTGAAGTTGATACGGAATATTTATCAACAAGGTCTTAGTATCTTCCGATGAACCTTTTTAGAAAAAGGACGAGACGTTCTTTGACATAACCCTTGTTCATCAACTTTATCCTCAGACACTGGTGACGTTTGACAAAGTCTGAGTAGCAGCTGCAAGCTCTTGAATACCGAATGAATTGTGAAATTTATATCCCATATGCAGGTTAAGTTGATAAACGACTCTTTTTCAAGACGCTTGAATAAAATTTAAAAAAGGCCAAATAAAATACAAAGTTAAAGAGCATTCAGAAAAGCTAGTTATCGACTCTCTGTCGCCAACCCATTTTAGCTATTTCTTAATTGACAGAATATATTTTGTTTTCCTTGCAGTGCTCTACGTCACATGTTAATTGTCATTTGTGACCATCAATATCCAATTGACTAGGAAAACTCTATCTTCAAAAACACTAGTTATTCCTTTGTTGCAAGTAAATTGTCATTTGTGACCAAAATATCTAATAGACTGGGGATTCTTTCTTCAAAAACACTAGTTATTCCTTTGTTGCCAGTAAATTGTTATCTGACCATCAATATCCAGTCGACAGAGGAAACTCTTTCTTCAAAAACACTAGTAAAAGTAAAAATAACAAAAATACCGAACTCCAAAGAAAATTCAAAACGAAAGTCGCTTATCAAATTGCAAAATCAAAAACTCAAACACAAATCTTTTGTTGGTTTTCAATATCATTATTCAGCTGGAAAACATGCAAATAACCAACATACATTTTAACATTTATATAGTCTCCTGACTTTGTAAAGTGTTAAGACTTCAATAAATGTATACTTTATGTTTTATTATATATATGATTTCCCATGTTATAAGTGTATATAAATTTCTTGGCTGCCAGAAGTTCCACGCTATTTCCATTAACTAAAGTCACCTAGCTGTCCAACCTCCATCCATAGTTAAACAAGAACCAGTGATTTGTGATGCTGCTTCAGAACAGATAAATTCTACAAACTTTGCAACCTATTTAATGCAAAACATTGTCATTAGTATACAGTGGTTGTAACATGATCACATGTATGCCATGGCATCATTTTATGTATCAATTCTACAATCTTTGCAATCTATAGAATGTAAAACACTGTCATTAGTTGGAATTGGTTGTAATATGGCCAAGGATATTAATCTTTTATTTGGCATATAAATGCTACAATCTAAGCCACCCATAAGATAAACATTATCATTGGTTGATACAATGTATCCAATGGCATCATTGTATATATTAGTTCTACAATCTTTGCCCTCTAGAATGTTGAAACTCTGATAACATATGACTTATCATTTGACATGGCATGGATTCTACTTATCCAACATTGTCACTGACACGGCGTACCATACAATGACTCCGGCGCTAATGAAATGATTTGAATCATATAAAATTATTTACCAAAAAACATATAAATAACTGCTATTAATTGCAGTTTAACTAAGGAATTTTTGCATCTTGCATACCATAAATCATACTAACTATGCAACCTAAATATACATATGTTTATAAACGTGCCAACATAGGCATCATGTGATCGACCTTTTAAATTTTGTACTGATGGGCTAATCATTTGAAACAAAAAATATCTCCGAGTAAAACATCTCGTAAGAGATAAATATTTCAGTGAAACATCATGAAACAAAGACTTGCTAAACAAGGAATTGCTGAGAGGAATTGTAATTGTATAGGCCTCTAACAGAAAGGACACAAAGTAATTTATAACGATATTTTCGCTGTCTTTATAATACAAAAGAAAATTTTATTTCGATCGCCAACATTAGGATTCGTATTAAACGAACCAAAATAGAATTCCTAGAAAACGTTTCAGAAGACTTTGATATTGTCGCAGTAACCGAATCGCATTTGGATTTCTCTGTAGAAAGTAAATATATTGAATGACAGCTTTTTCCTGTATCATAACTACTGAATGCCACTTTTACAAAGTTATTTACGCTATATTTTTTTTCTGATGAGTGCAACTTTGTCAAAGTTAGTTACGCTATATCTTTATCTGATGAGTGCCACTTTGACAAAGTCATTTACGTGTAACCTTGATCTGATGAGTGCCACTTTGACAAAGTTATTTACGCTATATCTTTATCTGATGATTGCCACTTTGACAAAGCTAGTTACGCTATATCTTTATCTGATGAAAGCCACTTTGACAAAGTAATTTAAGTTGTATCTTTATCTGATGAGGGCCACTTTGACAAAGTATTTACGCTATATCTTTATCTGATGAGTGCCACTTTGACAGATTTATTTACGCTATATCTTTATCTGACGAAAGCCACTTTGACAAAGTAATTTACGCTGTATATTTACCTGATGAGTGCCAATAGGTTGTAATGTAGGATGATTTACATGTAAGATCCGTCTCTGCAAAACAATAATGTCAGTAGAGAAACAAAAATAAACAATCAAACAACTAAAACAAGTTGTCACCTTTTAACAAAAATACCATCTTTAATATTGTATGTGAAATTAGCGACCGGTGTTCATCGCAGCTTGTTATATATTTCATCAACCTGTCGAGGCTTGTTCGATGCTTAACTGTTCAATCGCAGCTTTTGATATTCAGTCAAAAGTAGTAAAACATTGCATGTTTAATAGGATTCAAAAATTGATAACCATAATCTAAAAAATGTTTGAAGGTCCCTACTATATATTAGCTACCTAAACTGCACAAAAAACCTTTATATTTCATTTCAACTCGGCATTTTGTAAGTGTTCTACGACTAACCTTTCGGTGTTGATTACAAGTTCCATTACTTCTAGTAAAGAACTTGTAAATAATTTTGATAATAAATGAAAAAAATATGAAATAAAGTGTCATAAACTCTTTGAATATTTTGGATACATTACGTGCCCTTTATTGTCCGTTCAATTCGGTTGATAGTTATTACCTTTCGATTCTGAACACTACAATGTCACACAATCTTATGAAACGTAAGTTGTCTTATTAAGTTGATTTGTCCTTTTCTGATTGCTTATTCATTTGCTGTAATTTATATAAAGCCTTCTTTTGTAATGAAAAAGTGAAATATGTCAGATAAACTAACTGGAACTGTGATGAGATGATTAAAGCTGTCAATTTTCTTCTTGACACCATTTATGCACGTTTCGGCAATTAAGTTAATCGAAAGGTTGTAAGCATTCCTATGGAAACCAATTAAAATCGAAGACTTGTTCCTGTAGTGTCACAGTTTATGGGTAAACTCAGTTAAGATCTTCTATATTATATAATTTTTGAAATACTGAGGAGTTTCTACCCCAGCAATAGAAAGAAGTAAAATAACAAAAAAACCGAACTCAAAGGAAATTCAAAACGTAAAGTCCTTTATCAAATGGCAAAATCAAAGGCTGAAACACATCAAACAAATGAAAAACAATTGTTATATTCTTAACTTAGTTCAGGCATTTCCTTATGTAGAAAATGGTGGATTTAACCTGGTTGTATAGCTAGGTAAATCTCTCACTTGTATGACAGTCGCATAGAATTCCATTATATTGACAACAATGTGTGAGCAAAACAAACAGACATAATAGGTAAAAATGTCAAAAATTGTGGTGCAGCAGTCAACATTATGTTATAATCTTAATCACTATAAAAACAAACAACTACGTCAAAAAAGAAAACAAAATGGCATATAGATATTCTATAGACAAAGCACATAGCAAAAATGTAAGACAGGAATACGAAAAATTACCATAGAACAATAGCTCAATGGCGGGATGTATAAAAACCGAGCAAAGCCAAAAGAATATTATCAAAAATGGATTAAACAGTAAAGGTTAAAAATATACAAAGACAAATAAAAAGAACACTATAACATGTTATTACATGGCGTTGTCAGTTTGTTTTCGACTTATGAGTTTGAATGTCCCTCTGGTATCTTTCGCCTCTCTTTTATTACAATGATAAACAACGTCAGTACCTAGAGTCTATAGTTCAAGACCATCATGTATCATTTTGAAGTTGATACGGAATATTTACCAACAAGGTCTTGGTATCTTCCGATGAACTATTTTAGAAATGGGACGAGACGTTCTTTGACATAACCATGATTCGTCAACATTTTTGCTCAGGCACTGGTGACGTTTAATAAAGTCTGAGTAGCAGCTGCAAGCTCTTGAATACCGAATGAGTTGTGAAATGTATATCAAATATTCAGGTGAAGTTGGTACATTGCTGCTAAGGTGGAGGAAATTTATAATTTCAAAATTAATCGTTTGTCATAGATACTGGTACTGAGATGACCGCTGATGTCAAATTCGAGGTATAAGTCTAAAAATGTGGCGGAGGAAGCCGCGTCTGTTGTTTCTTTAATTTCTAGTTCTGGAGGATATGTTAATGGATCCCAATCAGAAAACTTTGGAAAGTTAATGGAAAGAGCATCAATATATTTGAATGTGAAATTAAACGATCTGGCTTCTTTGGTATTCCTGTTTTTGACAAGTGTCCGAAGGAACTCCAACTCATATGAAAACAAGAAGAGGTCGGAGAAGAGGAAGGAGAGGCACACAGATCGTTCCAATAGGAATGCCGACATTTTGTTGAAAAAGTCTACCTCCAAATTCAAAAAATATGCTGTCAATAAGAAACTTCAGCATACTGATAACTTATTCCTCTATGTAGCATGTTTTACCTTCTTGTTCACTATTAACAAAATGTGCCGTATGGTATCCCAAAGCAATACCTCAATAGCGTATGCTACACATTTTATATTGAAAAGCATTATGGATTATTTCTATTAGACGATTTTTCAAATTCACATGGGGAATGGTGGTTTAAAGGGCTGAAAAATCAAAGATTATGATGGAACGAATTTCAGAGAAAGATCGAGATTTGAAATTATCCAGAAGTTCTTTAGAGTTATGTAGAATCCACATATGGTTTATACCATTTCGCGAGTAAACAGCTTCACAGTATTTCTGAAGATCTTCTTTCACTGCGGACAGAATTTTTGTCAATCTAATGGACAATGCCTTTGTCGAACATGCAGATGAGCTGACAATGTACTGTTGTTAGTGCGGAATTTTGTGAAGCTTAGGTTTTCAATACAAACAAGGTAATTCCTCAGATTTGCTGTTAAATGTAATGTTCATTGAAGCCATGAAGGACTTATGATTCGCCAAAATCTCATCCTTTTCAAATGATATGTCTTTGTATGTAGGATTACCTGTGTGCTCATTCGTTCCTAATTCTTTTACAAGACACTCGTAGTAGTACGATTTACATACAAACACAATATTATTTGAAGCTTTGTTCGTTTACCTTAGCTGTATTTGGCAAAAACGTTCGGAATTTTGGGTCCTTTATGCTCTTTAACTTCGTACTTTATTTGGTCTTTTAAACTTTTTTTATTCGAGCGTCACTGTAGCCGAAACGCATGTCTGGCGTCTTGGAGTGCTTTTATCACGATATTGACCTTACCTGCAGCAACACTATTCTCAATCTATCTGTCAATACTAATATTCCTTTGAAGTCCCTGTATCACGGTAATGACCTCACCTGCAGCAACACCATTCTCAATATATCTGTCAATACTAATATTCCTTTGGAGTGCCTCTATCACGGTAATGACCTCACCTGCCACAACACCATTCTCAATCTATCTGTCAATACTAATATTCCTTTTGAGTGCCTCTATCACGGTAATGACCTCACCTGCCACAACACCAATCTCAATCTTTCTGTCAATACTAATATCCCTTGGAGTGCTTCTATCATGGTAATGACATCATCCGCAGCTATATCATTCTCAATCTAATGGTCAATACTACTATCCATTCGAGAGCCTTTTTCACTATAATGACCTCGCCTGCTGCGATATTATTCTAAATCTATATGTCAATACAACTACCCCTTTGGTAACCTTTATCATGATAATGACCTCACCTGCTGCTATATCAATCTTAACCTCTATTACGATAATGACCTCACCTGCTGCTATAGCATTTTCAATATATCTGTCAATATGTCTTACTCTTGGAGTGCCTCTATCACGATAATGACCCCACCTGCAGCTATATCATTCTCGATGTAACTGTCAATTTTACTATTCCTTGAAATGACTCTATCCCTATAATGACTTCACCTGCAGCTACAACATTCTCAATCTAACTGTCATTACTACTTTGCCTTTGACAGCCTCTATCACGATAATGACCTCACCTGCAGCTATATCATTCTAAATGTAACTGTCAATTCTACTTTGCCTTGGAGTGCTCTATCACGGTATTAAAAAGTAAAATAACAAAAATACCGAACTCCAAGGAAAATTCAAATCGAAAAGTTCTTTATCAAATGGCAAAATCAAAAGCTCAAACACATCAAACAAATGGAAAACAAATGTCATATTCCTGACTTGGTACAAGCATTTCCTTATGTGGAAAATGGTGGATTAAACCTGTTTTATAGGTAGCTTAACCTCTCACTTATATGACAGTCGCATAAAATTCCATGACCTCACCTACAGCTACATCATTCTCCATCTATCGGTCAATACTTCTATTCCTTAGAGTGCCTCTATCACGGTAATGACTTCACCTGCAGCTACATCATTCTCCATCTATCGGTCAATACTTCTATTCCTTAGAGTGCCTCTATCACGGTAATGACTTCACCTGCAGCTACATCATTCTCCATCTATCGGTCAATACTTCTATCCCTTAGAGTGCCTCTATCACGGTAATGACCTCACCTGCAGCTATATCATTCTCCATCTATCGGTCAATACTTCTATCCCTTAGAGTGCCTCTATCACGGTAATGACCTCACCTGCAGCTACATCATTCTCCATCTATCGGTCAATACTTCTATCCCTTAGAGTGCCTCTATCATGGTAATGACTTCACCTGTAGCTACATCATTCTCCATCTATCGGTCAATACTTCTATTCCTTAGAGTGCCTCTATCATGGTAATGACTTCACCTGCAGCTACATCATTCTCCATCTATCGGTCAATACTTCTTTTCCTTAGAGTGCCTTTATCATGGTAATGACTTCACCTGCAGCTACATCATTCTCCATCTATCGGTCAATACTTCTATCCCTTTGAGAGCCTCTATCATGGTAATGACCTCACCTTCAGCTATATCATTCTCCATCTATCGGTCAATACTTATATCCCTTAGAGAGCCTCTATCACGGTAATGACTTCACCTGTAGCTACATCATTCTCCATGTATCTGCAAATACTACTTTGCCTTGGAGAGACTCTATCATGATATTACCTTTCTTATATCTAATTTTTATGAAAATTCACACATGGAAAAATGTATATTTATACATTTAGTAATGTTCTGATTCTGTGGATTATGTTTTGATAATCCAAAACTTTTTATGAAAGCTGATCATAAGGTAACTCTTGCTCTTCTGACCATTGTTAACTAAGTACATTTTCCTCATACAACACTATAAAACATCATGATTCCTTCTTATTTCACACATGTATTATTACAAATGACATACCGAGGCCTCATCGTAGCTGCATCCATCAGTTTGTGACCGAGATTCTACTTGTTTCTGATAAACTGAAATGATAAAAGAAGTTTGAATGCACTCCTGTCTTTAAAACCCCTTATATAGAAATCAGATGATGTGGTATGAGTGCCAATGAGACAACTCTCCATCCAAGTCACAATGTGTAAAAAGTAAACAATTATAGGTCAAAGTTCGGCCTTCAACACGGAGCCTTGGCTCACACCGACCAGCAAGCTATAAAGGGCCCCAAAATTACTAGTGTAAAACATTTCAAACAGGAAACACAACGGTCTAATCTTTATGAAAAACGAGAAACAAGAAACATTCAAGAACCACATCAACAAACGACTACCACTGAAACAGGTTCCTGACATAGGACAGCTGCAAACAAATGCAGCGGGTTTAAACGTTTTAACAGGCGACAACCTTCACCCTAACCTGAAATAGTAGTGTAACATTACAACATAGAAAGACGCACTATAAAATATCAATTGAAATGGCTTAACTTAATCGAAAAGACATATTAACAAAAACAAGTAAAGATACACTAAACGAATAAATTTGATCTATGACACAATGTCAAAAAGACAACAGTTTTCTATAACCTTGGGCAAAATAGCGTTAAATAAAATAACGTATACAGGTAAATTTAAATATAATTATTTTGTTGTTAGGAGTACGGAGATATATTTTACAAAATAAATAAATTTAATGTTCATAGTACGAGAATAGCAGTGAAGATTTATCGTCATACTAAATACTTAGGTGGTACATATTAAAAATAGTGAGACGAGACATAACACGAAATAAGTAAACATTGAATAACAAAAATGCATTAGTACCCTAACATCCCTCGGATTTAGTGTTTTAACGCCATGGACGTTCAAAGAAGACACGACTTGTGCAATGCCAAAAGTAAAGTATCGACAGGCAGTAGGATAGTTTGGATTTAACCTGATAATAAATATGTATAATGTTATACATTTTTATAGATAAAGCAATTTCTATATAGAAAATGAACGTGGATGTGTATTTATACATGACTGACTCTTGTGGTTTCAGAAAGCAGTGAACATGAAGGACGTCACAGAGACTGAAGTGTTTAAGACAAATCAATAATAAAAAAGGAATGAGGTGTTCTAAATTTTGAAAAGTGCTGATTGGATCGCCTATCTGCAATCGTAGGTGGGTTTAGACACATACATATCGTATCGGTCAACCAGTTCGTGTTGATGGCCATAAAAAGTATTTTACTGTAAACTAAGGATCGCAGAAATAGAAAAAGTGAGCACTACAAGCTCATTAGGAATAGGGTTTACACTAATCCTTGCATTCGACACATTCTGATTTTCAATGATAATTTATGTCAAATACTGACACGGACATTTGAGATGATACGCAATGTAAAATATTGGTAATATTTTATGAACAGGGTTATTTTGGATGATACGCTATGTAACACATGGTAATAGTTTATGAACAGGGACATTTTAAATGGTACGCAATTTAATAGACTGGTCAAATTTAATGAAGAGGTAAGTTACAAATGAAACGCTGTGTCAAGACTGGTCATATTTCAGGATCAGAGACATTTTAAATGATACGCTATGACAAGACTGGTCAAACTCTATGAGCAGGTACATTTTCAATGATTTGCTTTGACAAGACTGGTCAAATTTCATGAGCAGTCACTTTTCAAATGATACGTGAATTGAAAGACTCATTTATATTCATGAACATGGATATTTAAAATGATACGCTTTGTCAACAGAAACACGACCGGTCATATTTAATGAAGAGACATTCGCCCCTCTTTTAAGTGATACTCTATATCACGACTGGTCATGTTTCATGAACAGGGACATCTAAAATGATATGTTGTGTCAAAGATTTATTTATATTTCATTAACAGGTACATCTAAAAGGAAACGCTAGGTCACGAATGGTCATATGTAATGAACAAAGACATTTTACAAGACACAATAAACCAACCCTGGTTATATTTTATGAACAGGGCCCATTTTACATATCATGTTATGTTACAGACTGATGAAAGTAATGCACAGATACAATTAAACTTACTTGGCGTATCTACAAACCCAGGACAAATGGCATTACACGTTACGCCAGTTCCTGCTGTTTCCAAGGCAACCACCTTAAATATGCACAAATTTATGCATAAAATTCATGTTGAAATTACAAACAAGTAATTGAAAATTGAACTGATATTTGGTAGGAACAAGTTTAAAAGCTTTCAATAAATTTGCAAGCTTGATTTCTTTTACTAGCAAACCCCGTATAGTATGTATAAGTTGAACAAGAGTGCGCACGCTGAAATTTCTCGCCTGTTTTACTTATGATTGAATTTATGTCGAAAGTCTGTAATATGAAGGTTTTACTACATGTATCACATAAACTTAACATCATCAATGATCAATGAGAATGTGGTCAGATGGAACATAACAGACAGACATGTACACAACAATCATTCCATACACCAAATATAGTGGTTCTATCGCTTATAGTACATGAGAAACAAATCAAACCACAAAATCTTCATATTGACAAATAAACCATGAAAATGAGATTAAGGTGATATGAACCCTGCCAGACAGACATTTACACTTTACAATCATTCCTTACTACAAATCCAGTTGACCTATTGTTTATAGTAACTGGTAAAAGAAATACATTTGTATTATTGTGAATGTATAAACAATGTTTCATATAAAGGATACTAATAGTATTGTGCAGGTACACACACTGTTTTATATAAGTGAATTATTATTATTGTGAAGGTATAAACAATGTTTTATATACAGCGTATTTATACATGTGTATTATTGTGAAGGTATAAACAATGTTTTGTATAAAGTGTATTTATACATTTGTACTATTGTGAAGGTAAAAACAATGTTTTATATAAAGCGTATTTTTACATTTGTATTATTGTGAAGGTATCAACAATGTTTTGTATAAAGTGTATTTATACATTTCTATTATTGTGAAGGTATAAACAATGTTTTATATAACATGTATTCATACTTTTGTGCAGGTATAAATAATGTGTTATATAAAGTATATTTATACATTTGTATTACTGTGAAAGTATAAGCAATGTCTTATATAAATTGTATCAAGAGGTTTTTACAGTGTTGTTTCCTTTTTTTTATCCTTGTCTTTATATTTTACTTAATTTTTGTACTTTATCGAAAAAGTGTATACTATAAACTGTATGTACATGTACTTCTTCTTTAAGTTTCTAGGAATCCTTCAATTATTGAAGATTATTCGCTGGGCGTAGACTATAAAATTTTATAATTTACATTGTAGCAAGAAACAAAATCAAAAAATCAAAATAATGTATGTACATTTGAAAAATTTCATTTAGATAAAACTATATACATTTGATAACAAAATAGTTAGGGATAGAAAATGGGGATGAGAGCAGATTCTGAGATCATACTCTTGAATCCCTCTACTGTACTTTGTATTTGTTGTGGCAGATGATTCCAATTTATAACTGTTCGTGGATAAAATGAATATTTATAACTGTCTTTAGATGTTTGTATTTGCCTAAATGAGTGTGGATTGCTATGTCTAGTTCTATTGTCTAGTGGGATCAAAAGGTTATATGTAGGGACTGCAACAATTTCGTGTATAATTTTGTAGAAGAAGACAAGTCTGTATCGTAAACGCCTAATTTCAAGTGGGTACCAATTTAAGTCTGACATCATTTCAGTAACTCAGCTGGTGTTATGGAAGCGGTTGCATGAGAAGCGTGCTGCTCTTCTCTGAACTTTTTTCAATTTGTGAAATTTGCTGTTTTTGATGTGGATCCCAAATAGTTGAGCAGTACTCTAATTTTGGTCGGACAAGAGCTTTAAATGCATGTGCTTTAACTTTAGGTGAGGCTATTTTTAGGTTTCTACTAATAAATCCAAGAGACTGATTTGCTTTTGATGTCATGTTAACGATATGTTTGTCCCATTTTAAATTTGATTGAAGAGTTAGGCCTAAATATTTTGTAGAGTCAAATTTTTCTAGAGAGTGATTGTGTAATGTATAAGTGAAGTCTAAAGGTTTGCGTTTTTGAGTTACACTGAGAATGTTGCACTTATCAGGGTGAAAATGCATGAGCCAGTCCTGCTCCCATCTGCCGGCCGCTTCCAAGTCAGACTGTAATTTATATGTGTCATCTGGTTTTTTAATTTCCCTGTAAATAATACTGTCATCTGCGAACAATCTTAATGTACTATGTTCAATATATTCTGCCAAATCATTTATACATATTAAGAATAAAATTGGACCAAGCACTGTGCCTTGAGGTACCCCAGATGTTACAGAAATTTTATTTGATGTTTCACCTTCAAGGACTACTGTTTGTGTTCTGTTTGTTGAAAAATCTTGAATCCAATGTAATGCATTGCAATTTATACCGTAGAAATCAATTTTATACATGAGATGGTGGTGTGAAACTTTATCAAATGCTTTTGCAAAATCCATTATTATGATGTCTGTTTGAATGTTTTTGTTATTTGAATTTGCAAGATCTTGAATAAATGATATTAGCTGAGTTTCACAGGAGCGAGATGATCGGAAACCATGTTGTAAGTCATATAGTATTTTTTTTTTCCAGATGTTTCATTATATTACTAGCTACAACATGTTCTAATAGTTTGCAGCAGATGCAAATCAATGATATGGGGCGATAGTTTATAGGGTCGTGTTTGTCGCCTTTTTCGAATGCTGGACATACACTTGCGTGACGCCAGTCATCTGGGATCTTTCCAGATATCAGTGATGTTTGGAATATGATTGACAAGATGGGAGTGATAGATGTCTTACACTCTTTTAAAATTTTTCCATGGATGAGATCAGGCCCAGCTGCTTTGTTGATATTGATGTTATTTAGAAGTTTTTCTATGCCCTGTTTTTGTATTTTAATATCAGGCATCTGTGGATGTTTACTGACGCCCTTATCTGGTATTGGATCATCTGTTACAGATGTGAATGCTTTTTTGAACTGTTCATTTAAAATATTAGCTTTTGCTTTTGAATCAGATGTAAGTGAGCCCTCTTTTCGAAGTGGTGGTATGTTACAGCTTTCAGACTTTTGTGTTTTTATATAACTGAACAGATTTTTGGGGAAGCTCTTAGATATAGTAGAAGGGTTGTCATCAACTGGTATACCACATATCATATTTTCAAAATAATTCCAATAAGATGTTCTTTGTTGTTTTTGTATTTCATGTTTTAATTTTTTGAGTTGGTCTTGTTTCCCTTTGCCTTTCAATTTGTACTTTTGATATTTTTTCTTGTACTTTTTCATTTGTCTTTTAAGACTGTCTGTTATCCAAGGTAGATTTTTGCTGTTTCTCATCATTTTCTGTGGTATGTTCTCAGAGATAGTGTTTTGTAATGAGTTTTTAAATATTAACCAAAGTGTATTTGTATCTTCACTATCCTTTTTATGCATGATCTTTTGATATGTTTGATCTATATCCTCTTTTATTTTTTGCCAGTTTGCATTTTTATATTTATAGATTTTACGTGGCTTGGTTTGGCATCTTTTTAATGATAATAATACTTCCAACTACAAAAACATTTTTATTGGCGTCTTTGTCAGATCATTCGCATGTTAGTTTGAATTTTGTAGTCAGTTGTGTTGTATGTCTGTGCTTACATAATTTTGGCTGCTGGGTCCCAATAATTGTCACATTACTCTTCTATCTCTGTTTTGGTTGCTCATCGAAATTTGTCAATAAAACAGATCTATAAACAAATATCATACAAATGGGTGATTTAGCTAGCTATAAAACAAGGTTTAATTCACCATTTCCCTAAAAGAAAAAGCCGTACCAAGTCAGGAATATGACAGTTGTTTTCTATTTGTTCCATTGGTTGATAAAGTCTAACGTTTGATTTTGTCAGTTTTTATTGACTTCCCCCTTTTTTAATTTACATTGGAGTTTTTTTAATACGTTTGTATCATTGTAAAGGTATAATCAATATTTCATATTAAGAGATAGCAATGTTTACCTTTGTCAATCCGTGCAAACCATGTTTTGCAGATACATAGGCAGCCTTATATGGACTGGCTACTAATCCATGCACAGAAGAAATGTTAACTATTCTACCCCATCCTGAAAATTGTTTTGAAATTTTTATTATGATCATGATATTGTTTGGTTTTTGGCATAAACTATTACGCACAAGTTGATAATAATTCAATTATTTCTAAGAGGATATAGGTTGATATCGAATAGTTTACAGTGATTTTATCACAAACCGATTTTGTAAATAATTGAAATCAAATTAATCTCACTATCGTATAATTCTGACTTGTTACAGTAAGACTAGTCTTGCCTCTTTACCCAATCTGATTGCAATGTAAGTCCTGGGATGTATACAATGTAAGCAGAGCGCGGACACAGGATCTTTATTTTATTCAGATTGCTATGAACCCAAGGTCGAGCAAAACTGACCGTAAATATTCCAGCATTAATTACCACGGATGAAAATGCGCATGGAATGGAACATATTCCAACAGACATTACTATGGATGGAAATGGTCATAAAACAGTAATACAAAAGTAGTGATTAATATGGACGGAAATGTACATAGAACAGTACATATTAAATCAGTTATTACTATGGACGGAAATGTACATAGACCAATAATATAAAAGCAGTAATTCATATGGACGGAAATGTAAATAGAACAATTCATATTAAAGCAGTTATTACTATGGACGGAAATGTACATAAAACAGTTCATATTAAAGCAGTTATTACTATGGACGGAAATGTACATAGAACAGTTCATATTAAAGCAGTAACTATTATGGACGGAAATGTACATAGAACAGTTCATATTCAAGCAGTAATTACTATGGACGGAAATGTACATAGAACAATAATGTAATGGCAATAACTATTATGGACGGAAATGTACATAGAACAGTTCATATTAAAGCAGTAACTATTATGAACGGAAATGTACATAGAACAGTTCATATTAAAGCAGTAACTATTATGGACGGAAATGTACATAGAACAGTTCATACTAAAGCAGTGATTATTATGGACGGAAATGCACATAGAACAGAAATGTAAAAGCAGTAATTACTATGGACGGAAATGTACATAGACCAGTAATATAAAAGCAGTAATTCATATGGACGGAAATGTAAATAGAACAATTCATATTAAAACAGTTATTACTATGGACGGAAATGTACATAAAACAGTTCATATTAAAGCGGTTATTACTATGGACGGAAATGTACATAGAACAGTTCATATTAAAGCAGTAACTATTATGGACGGAAATGTACATAGAACAGTTCATACTAAAGCAGTGATTTCCATGGACGGAAATGCACATATAACTGTACATATTCAAGCAGTAATTACTATGGACTGACATGCACATAGAACAGAAATGTAAAAGCAGTAATTACTATGGACGGAAATGCATTTAAAACTGTACATATTAAAGTAGTATTTACTATGGACGGAAATGTACATAGATCTATTCCTACGGTAATCAATGTTGAAATGAAACGCATCCATAAGAAGAAGTTGAACATTAAATTTGTTCAATTCTGTCGGTCATTTGTTAGACATTTCAACTGAGGTAAAATTATTTCTGACACTTTGAATCTGTTAAGATTTAGTTATTGAATTTTGATAGTGACAAGTACCTGTTGCTTACAGCTGTCTAGCAATATACTGCAAAAATAAAAGCAACTTTAAGTCTTAATTGTTTCAAGCTACATAAAAGCTAATGGATATTGATCCCCGAAATATCGGACGCAATAATTGAATAATAAGTGAATATTTACAAGCGTAAAGACTACCAACATAATTTGCTAACCTTTGTGTTTCATTTCTGATAAAAAATTCTGAACCAGTAGAAAAGGAGACGTCAGCATTATACCAATCATGTGTTCCCACTTGGCCATCGGAAATGTTTCGACTGGACTCACATGCTGGATACCTAAAGGACTCAATATAGATTATGGATTATATCAGTATGTGTGTGTATGGAAAAGTTTTCAACTGGACTCGACGTTGAATATATGTTTGTGTGTGTGTATGTGCATATGTGAAAAGATCAAATCGCCAATTATGATCTCTAACTCATCATCATCATCATCATCATCATCATCATCATCATCATCATCATCATTAGTATTATAGCAAAGTAAAATCTCCTGATTGTACGGCTAGTTTTAGTTTACAAAATGTTTTTATTTTATTCTTACAGTCTAAACTAAACAACTGAAGACATTTTTATTATAGAAATATTGTGAACGTTTCGATGTCGCCTTACCGTATATTGTTTTTATATAAATATTGTGAACGTATCGATGTCGCCTTACCGTATATTGTTGTTAATGAATCGATGTCAACTTCCTTTATATTGTTTTTGGGTGTTATTGTTTGGTTATTACCTGTGAATTTTAATTTTCTTTTTGATGTACGGTAAATACTTGCAACATTAACCAATTCGTCAATTTATGTCAGAAATAACGCAAATTACCTGTCATATTGACCAATAAGTCAGTTTTGGTCAGATAGTTAGTTATTTAAAGAAAATAGTGAAGATAACAAGGGAACAAAATCATAAGTCAAAGAAACAGACAAAATCATGACCAAACAGAGAAACGACGAAAAAAGAACAAAATATTTCACAGGAAACAAAATATTGAGCATCATAAACCCGTCAGAAACCGGGATTGTATAAGTGCACCGGAAGGTTATGCAGTTCTTGCTCCACATATGGAGTTTGTCATACTGATCGCTGTATCTAACATTCAGTGTTAAGTCCAATTTGACAATGATACAATCGATGAATATAGGACGGGATCTTAGCTACGTTACATGGAACATATAAGTGTTCATCTCTGACACAGATATTCAATAACGGTCCGTAAATTAACGAAGAGTTGAATTCAACTTTACCACATGCAATATTTGATGCAATAGAGTCCTTGTAAGCAGTAATCGCTCTATAAAAAGTATTGCTAGCCTGTAATATCTACCAACGTTCCAGCTCATGTTTGGCAGGTACGCTTAACACTGTCATACAAGTGAGAGGTTATGCTAGCTATAAAACAAGGTTTAATCCACCATTTTCTAAATAAGGAAATGCCTGTACCAAGTCAGGAATATGATAGTTGTTTACCATTCGTTGGATGTGTTTGGGCGTTTGATTTTGCCATTTGATAAGGGACTTTCCGTTTTGAATTTTCCTTGGAGTTCGGTATTTTTGTTTACACTTTACACTACCTGTCGTATTGACCAAAATGTCAATTACTTTCAGAGATGTACAGTGATTATACCTGTGATATTGATCGATATATCAATTCATTTCAAACAGGTACGATACATAACCTGTAATGGTGACGTAGGTAGTTATTATTGTTTTTGGTCAATGTGTTCATTTAGTCAGAATTCGTTTCCCCTTTTTGAATTTACCTTGGAGTTCTGTATTTTTGTCGGTACTTTTTGGGTAATTGACCAATATTTCAACTCATGTCGGAGTGTTACGCATATGCTACGTTATCTGTGATATTGACCAATATGTCAATTCATTACGACCATATACGGAACAACCTTAAACATGTTAAATTGACCAATATTTTAATTTCTTAAGGACAATTACCTTAGCTGTATTTGGCAAACTTTTAGGAATTTTTGGTCCTCAATGATCTTCAACTTCGTACTTTATTTGGTCTTTTTAACTTTTTTTTATTGGAGCGTCACTGATGAGTCTTTTGTAAACGAAACGCGCGTCTGGCGCAAATACAAAATTTCAATCCTGGTATCTATGATGAGTTTATTTACAACCACTGAGTCGATGCCACTGCTGCTGGAATTTTTATTCCCCGAGGGTATCACCGGCCAATTAGTCAGCACTTTTGTGTTGACATGAATAATCATTGATATGGTCATAATTATAAATTAACTATTTACAAAACTTTGAATAGATTACCTTAGCTGTATTTGACAAAACTTTTAGGAATTTTTGGTCTTCAATGCTTTTCAACTTTGTACTTTATTTGGTCTTTTTAACTTTTTTTTATTCAATCGTTACTGATGAGACTTTTGTAGACGAAACGCGCGTCTGGCGCAAATACAAAATTTCAATCCTGGTATCTATGATGATTTTATTTACGGGTAAAAAACTGGTATTGACTGGATCTGCTTCTTGCATTTAATTATAAGCTAAGACCATGGTAGGTGGGTCGACAGCAACATATTTTCAAATTTCAGGACATATATCAAATTTATATTTACTGATATATATTTTTGTCATAAGCTGATCAATGTGATACTCTATTGATTTATTTCGTTTTTTTTTAATTTGTTATTTATATCTTACTATTTTTAACTTTTAAAACATTTTATTAAGAACCTCCTTTTGTCTTATAAAAAGAATAAAAGATTGTTTAAATTATTCTATTTTAACTAAGTTAGAACTGCAAATGATGTAAATTGCACATAAGTATAAATATGGGTTTTGACATTTACAGTTCTCATTTGTTGAATCGCACATACATGTAAATTTTAGCATCCCTTCATACTATGTCAATATCCTTGTAAATACTTGTTAAGTATTAAACCTCTATCCCAAGTAGGAGTGCACCGATATAAAACGGAGGATCATACTTGTACAGAACAGAAGTGATCAATAAGTAAATTTCTGTCGGATAGGTACGCTATATTACCTGCGTTGTTGACTAAAATATCGACCCCTGTCGGATATATACGGTATATATTGTCACATAATGTCAAATTGCCTTGAACAGTTGCCAAATCATCCTCGAAAAAGTTTACTTGAATGTTATGTCTGAAACCAAGAGAAGAGTTCAGTTAAAATCATTGCATAACTAATAGACTTTTTAACGGGCATGAAGTTCCTATATTATTATTTTCATTACGTGCAGAGCAAGCAAAAAAATGTCTTCACTATGTTCATTTAGATTTGTTTGTTTCGGTGCGGAAGACATGAAGACACCCGATAAGTGTAGTTTTTTGTCCTAGTGTGTAAGACCTGAAGACACCCGATAAGTTTTTATCAATAGTGTTAATCTATGTAATACACGCAGTACGTAGGGAAAACACTTATCATCAAAGTGCCAGGTTGTCACGAGAAATGATTGTTTGAATTGGTTGATAAAATAGTTTGCATAAAAATTCAGTTATTTATGACCCGTAATAAGACGTGACAAACAAAGCTAATGGACCAGAGTGAAAGATTTATCTAGATTACTAGTTTGTACATGTTTACTTCTCATGTATTAAGTTTGTGGACATTATACTAGCTTTAGTCAGCGGTAGACACGACCAGTGTAGTTTCTTAGCTTTTCTAACATTTGATGTTAACCATTATCAAATAAACTCAAAGGAAATAGCATAATCTTGAAGAATTAGATAACGACAATTATAATACACAAACAAGCATAATGCAGTACGGGACACAAACACTTGAAGATCCAGAGAAAGACATCGACGCATACAGACATGAGCAAATTTCAAACGCTGAACGGGACACCAACACCTAAGGATCAAGAGAATAATGATGACACATACAATGTAAACACTTTTTTAAAGAATATAAAACACTGAACGGGACATCAATGCTTGAAGACTCGGAAAATGATTAAAACTAAAAGGATTATTTAACTATGAAAGGGACTTCTACATTTGAATATCAAAAAAATGATTAAAAAGCATACAAGCTTTAGACAGTTTCAAACACAGAACGTTACACCTGAAGATCTAGGAAATGAGTAAGACACTTACAAACTTGATTTAGGTAATAAAAAACGTTAAACGGAACACCAAAACCTGAAAACATAGAGATTGGCTAAAAAACAAGCACCGATCGGGACTGCAACACCGAAGATCCAGAAAATGACTAAGAAACATAAAAACCTGGGGGATATCTTGAACGTCAAACATAAATTAACCCACACCTGAAGACCCGCAAAATGACTACGAAAAATATAAACCTGGGGGAATATCTTGATCGTCGAACTAGACACATATTAATTGACATTAATACCCACCTGAAGATCAAAGAATGTGTTAGACACACACATGCCTTAAGCTATATCAACCAGCACCTGAAGATCCAGGGAATGAGTTAAACGCACATAAGTCTTACGGTAAAAGGGAATGAGTTAAACGCACACAAGTCTAAAGTAATATTAATCAATCCCTTAAGATCCAGGAAATGTGTTTGACGTACACAAGTCTAAAAGAGAGGCGAAAGATACCAAAGGGACATTCAAGCTTATAAGCAGAAAATAAACAACGCAATAGTTTAAAAGATAAAGACCAACATACAAATAACATTTCACAAAACACAATATAGATAACAAAAGACTGAGCAATACGAACACCACCAAAAACGAACAAGTTAAACGCACACAACACCTGAATATCCAAGGAATGATTAAGACGCACACAAGCTTACGGTCATATCAACCAACACCGAAAGACCTAGGGAATGAGTTACAGACACACAAGTCTAAAGTAATATAAACCAACACCTGAAATTCCAGGGAATGAGTTAAACGCACACAAGCCTAATGGAATATCAATCAACGCCTGAAGATCCAGGAAATAAGTTAGACACACACAAGTCTAAAGTAATATTAAATAACCCCTGAAGATCAAGGGAATGATTTAGACGCACACAAACCTTAAGCTATATCAACCAGCACCTGAAGATCCAGGGAATGAGTTAAACGCATACAAGTCTTACGGTAAAAGGGAATGAGTTAAACGCACACAATTAATAAGTCTAAAGTAATATTAATCAATCCCTTAAGATCCAGGAAATGCGTTTGACGTACACAAGTCTAAAAGAGAGGCGAAAGATACCAAAGGGACATTCAAACTTATAAGCAGAAAATAAACAACGCAATAGTTTAAAAGAAAAAGACCAACATACAAATAACATTTCACAAAACACAATATAGATAACAAAAGACTGAGCAATACGAACACCACCAAAAACTAACAAGTTAAACGCACACAACACCTGAATATCCAAGGAATGATTAAGACGCACACAAGCTTAAGGTCATATCAACCAACACCGAAAGACCTAGGGAATGAGTTACAGACACACAAGTCTAAAGTAATATAAACCAACACCTGAAATTCCAGGGAATGAGTTAAACGCACACAAGCCTAATGGAATATCAATCAACGCCTGAAGATCCAGGAAATGAGTTAGACACACACAAGTCTAAAGTAATATTAAATAACCCCTGAAGATCAAGGGAATGATTTAGTAGCACACAAACCTAAAGCAATATCAACCAGCACCTGTAGATCCAGGGAATGATGTAGACACGCACAAGTCTAAAGTCAAATCATTTAACAACTGTAAGGACAAAATTTAAATAACAAATGGGAACGCATGGTAAATTAAAAACACCAAATAAGAATCGCTCTAATGTCTCACTATTTATACACGTGCTACATGATTCAATATGGTTTATTAATGTCATGTTCGGCACCAAAACCCAAATGAAATATTGTTCGTCAATTTTACGTTATGAATTCGGTATAATGTAAAACAAACGTGAACAGAGGACTAAATTTTGTGAATGTGTATGCGTTGGTTCAATAATGTCCTTAAAATCATAATAGTTACATATTTTAATTAAATGTTATTACTTATTACGTTTCAATGTGACCATTTTAATGTAATAACTGTTACCTCTTTCTGATCCCGACTTGACCAAAAAATTTGACTCCTGGATTAAAAATAAATAAATTCCTCCATGCACCTTATCGCCACCATCATCATAAAAATCCAATAGTTTTTACCCGATTTGTTTCAATATCACAAAATAGAGTTGACATACAACAATATATACTTATAGTTGATGTGTTTCCCTCGGTTCTAGTTTGTAACCCTGTTTTCTCTCAATCGATTTAAGACTTTCGAACAGCGTTATACTAATGTTGCCTTTATTTGACATACAAAATATCTTGTCTGCAGCCATTTTTTTTCAATAGGATTCGAAATCTTATTTAAACTAGTGTCAACTGTAGAAAACTTATTTCAAACGGGATTGTACATCCTCATTTGTACGGCAATATTGTTTACCGTGCCCGGAAATTTAGAAACGATCCTGGTAAACTTATCGATCCTTTAAATAAACTTATTCTAAAAGGTTACCAATTCAACACTGTAATTAAATCATTAAATTTTGTTTTTATTGGTACTAATATTGATTTTGTTATCAGTCAGTTAAAAGCAAACTAAATATTATTGTTATATACATATACACATTCATGGATCTACAATCTGTCGATACCTGTATCTTGGCATTGCACAAGTTCATGTTTTTCTCTGACTGTTTATGACGTCTTTACACTAAATCCATTGGTTGTTGGATGTGTACGGATTGATAATTAGGTCTTAGATGCATGATTTTTTTTATTAGTTGTTAGTGGCTTTGAACTAGCTGTCAGTAACTGCGAGTACTCTCAGATCTGTACTTAGTGTCTTTTTGTTGTTTGTATGTATAAGTACCCAGCCACGTCCACTTGTATTTGTAGTATTTGTATTTTTATCCATCTGATGAGGTAAGCCTCTTTCAACTGGTTTTTATAGTTCGTTCTTATGCTGTATTGTTACATCACTGTCCCAGGTTAGGGGAGGGTTGGGATCCCGCTTACATGTTTAACCCCGCCACATTCTGTATGTATGTGCCTGTCCCAAGTCGGGAGCCTGTAATTCAGTGGTTGTCGTTTGTTTATGTGTTACATATTTGTTTTTCGTTCATTTTTTGTTCATAAATTAGGCCGTTAGTTTTCTCGTTTGAATTGTTTTACATTGTCAATTCGGGGCCTTTTATAGCTGACTGTGCGGTATGGGCTTTGTTCATTGTTGAAGGCCGTACGGTGACCTATAGCTGTTAATTTCTGTGTCATTTGGTCTCTTGTGGAGAGTTGTCTAATTGGCAATCATACCACATCTTCTTTTTTATATCAACCAATTGATTGTACGTAATCCTTATGATGCATATTGCAGTTGTATCATACAAGTTTCATGATAGTGGTCGATGAACAAACTAATTCTGAAAATTTAACCTGATCACCGGAGCATGAAATTGAGGTCAGGCTCATATATGTATTAAAACGACATAACTCATCGCAACCAATGCTTATATTATATAGGGTTGGTTAACTAAGTAAAACGATTGAGGAAATTACCATACTCTGATCTGTACCTAAATACTGGAGCGAGGCGGTTACTGAGGAACAAACCTCACCTGGACTGTACCTAAAGACTTAAGCGTGATGGTGTAACGTGGTGATAACTTTAGAAAATAACACATCCTGAACTGTACCTCAAGACTGGAACGTGATGATAACAGAGGAAAAACCTCACCCTGAACTGTACCTATAGACTGGAGCGTGGTAGGAACTGAGGAATATGCCTCACTCTGAACTGTACCTACAACCTGGAGCGTGATAGTAACTGGGGAAAACACCTCACTCTGAACTGTCTCTTAAATTGGGATATGATAGTAACTGAGAACAATAATTCACACTAAACTGTACCTAAATACTAAAACATGTGATGGTTACTGAGGACAATACACCATGTTGAACTGTACCTTAAAATATAACGTGACGGTAACTGATGAATATATTTTACTCGGAACTGTACCTTAATAATGGAGCAAAAACGTAATGCAAAACTAAACCTTAAGAACGTGACGATACCTGGGACAAATACCTCACCCTGGACTGTATCTTTAACTGGAACGTACGGTAACAGAGGAATATACCTCACCCGAAATGTACTTAAAGACTAGAGCGTGACGCTAACTGAGGAAAAAACCTCACCCTGAGCTGTATCTATAGACAGAAACATGATAGTTACTTGGAACAATACCTCATGCACCCTGACCTATACCTAAAGATTGGAATGTGACAGTAACTGAGGAAAATGCTTCCCCCATAACTGTACATTAAGACTGGAACGTGATGGTAACTGAGGAATATACCTCACCCTGAACGGTACCTTAAGACTGGACAGTGTGACAGTTACTGAGGAAAATAACTCACCCTAAAAGGTACCTTAAGACTGAAGCGGGTGACAGTAACTGAGGAAATTACCTCACCCTGAACTGTACCTAAAGACTGAAGCATGAGATAACTGAGAAAAATACCTTATCCTGAACTGAACCTTTAGACTGGAACGTGACGGTAATTGAAGAAAATACCTCACCCTGAACTGTACCATAAGACTGGATTGTGACGGTAACTGAGGAATATACTCATCATGCATTCTACTTAAATACTGAAGCATGACGCTAGCTGAGGAAATACCTCATCCTAAACTGTTCCTTAAGAATGAAGCGTGACGGTAAGAGAGGAAAATACTTCAACTTGAACTGTATCTGAAGACTGAAACGTTTGAAGGTCACTGAGGAAAATACCTCACCCGGAATTGTACATTAAGACTGGAACGTGAAGGTAATCGAGGAAAATACCTCGCCCTGAATTGTACCTGAAGACTGGATCGAAATAGTATCTGAGAAAAATACCTCACCCGGAACTGAACATAAAGAATAAAGCCTGAAGTACGACAAAAGACGTATGTTAGAGGTCATAGACCTCCATTAACGCAGAACTCTGGATAATTGAGCAAAACAATGAAGTCAATGTCAATTGACTATTTTGGCACCCTAGGTATATGTTGGAATAAAACGTTGAGATGTTTTGCAAATTTTGCACGCCGCATTTGACGCATGTGGAAAAAGAATACTTGTACGTATGTCTCAACAACCTCGATTTTCTTTACAAAAGAAACAGCCATTGTCGTAACGTAAATGATCAAACATTGGTTGGTCTTTTTAAAGTACACTAAGGCTTTTCATTCCTTGTTTGACTAGCTCAATTACCTTTTCAAATTAGTTTGAACATCCTCAATGTGTTTTGTTTCGCCAAATCCATTCAAAATTACATTACACCTTAGATCTGCTAGATGTTTCACAATGCTTAAACCAATACCACTCGTGGAACCGGTTACTAAGGCAACTTTCCCTACCAGTTCTAACAAAATGTAAAACATTAAACCGATTATTAAGGCAACTTTCCTTGCCAAATTTACCTAATGTATAACATAAAACAGGTTACTAAGGCAACTTTGCCTGTCAAATCTACCAAATATATAACATAATACAGGTTACTAAGGCAATTTGCCCTGTCAAATCTACTAAATATATTACTGAAAACAGGTTACTAAGGCAACTTTGCCTGTCAAATCTACCAAATATATAACATAATACAGGTTACTAAGGCAATTTGCCCTGTCAAATCTACTAAATATATTACAGAAAACAGGTTACTAAGGCAACTTTTCCTATCAAATCTACCAAATATATAACATAAAACCGATTATTAAGGCAACTTTCCTTGCCAAATCTATCCAATATGTAACAAAAAAACCATTACTTTTCAAACATGTTTAACCGTTATTTTCTACATGTGCCTGTTTCAATTAAGGTTTTAACTTCCTCAGGCAAAGTTGACCTTAGATAAATTTGGCTATTTTTAAGGTCCTTTTTGGTAATACATTCTTGGCTTTCAAATATTCGGCTTTGAGCGTTCCTGGTGAAGGTAAATCCAGAAAAGAGCATAAAATTTATAACGTGTTGTTTTCATTTTGTTCCAAATAAGGCACCTGTAATTGAGTGGTTGTCGTTTTATGTTGTTTCTCATACATGTATTTGTTTTGCCGTTTATTGTTTTGCATTGTTTGTTCTTGTATTATGATGTTACACCACTGTCCCAGGTTAGGAGATGGTTGGCGCCTTCAAACATGTTTAACCCCGCCACATTCTTTATGTGCCTTTCCCAAGTCAGAAGCCTGTAGTTCAGTGGTTGTCTTTTATTCATGTCAGACATATTTGTTTTCAATAAATTGTTTTGTTATGAAGTAGGCCTTTGTAGTTTTCTCATGTCAATTGAATTGTTTCACATTTTTCATGTCGGTGCCTATTATAGCCGACTGTATGGTTTTTCTCATTTTTGAAGGCCATATTTTTGCCTATAATTGCTTACATCCACCTCATTTGAACTTTGGTGGATAGTTGTCTCATTGGCAATCATTACACATCTCCTTATTTTTATAGTATAGTAAATTTCCTTGCTAGATCTAACAAAATATATAGCATGCAACTGGTTAATATAAGAAATTTACCTCCCAGATCTTAAACAGAAATTATAATACGATCAACCGAGGAAAAAGAGAGGCGAAAGATACCAAAAGGGACATCCAAACTCATAAGTAGAAAATAAACTGACAACGCCATGGCAAAACAAAAAACAAAAATCAAACAGCAGTATAACATGTATAATATTGACTGGAGGTTTAAATATTAATCAAAAGCCGTATGCAACTGCGATGCCAATATAATACTTTCATGGGACTACCAATTAAAACATTTAACTGTCTGCGCACAATGTAGATTAATACGTGTTTCTTTCGTGGTGTGTAGATAAAGATGAAACGACTAATATGTGTAAACAAATATGACCTCATACATTTTATAACATCCGGGTCTTCAAATTCCGAATTTTACTGTGAGTTAATTAAGGCATCCGTTATCTCAGACATGATTTATAATTATGTTTGAGACTTGTACATAGATAAACTTTACATCTAAAAATATAACATTTATTTTTACAAGGCTTGGAATCAGGAAGAATGAGAGGCTTTGTCGAGCATTTCTATCTTGTTTCGAGACGAGATCAATTACAAATAAAAAACGCTTATACGGCTATTTGGGATGAAATTAAAATCATCCGTTTTGAATTTATAGTGGACGATGTACATATTCTGCTGACCTGGTTATTCTGGCGAAAACTTATCTTTATGTTAAACATAATCTTACCTTTCAAATGACAGACCATATTTGTTTATTGATCATTTCTCTCTATGTAGGATAAACACAGACGATGTGTAATTTACATACATGTATCACCTGTCCTAAGTCAGGAATCTGATTACAGTAGTTGTCGACTGTTTATGTAGTTCATGCGTGTTTCTCGTTTCTCGTTTTTATATAAATTAGACCGTTGGTTTTTCCGTTTGAATGGTTTTACACTAGTAATTTTTTGGGGCCCTTTATAGCTTGCTGTTCGGTGTGAGCCAGTGCTCCGTGTTGAAGGCCGTACCTTGACCTATAATGGTTTACTTTTATAAATTGTAACTTGGATGGAGAGTTGCCTCATTGGCACTCATACCACATCTTCCTATATCTATCACCAGAGATGGCAGGTTTTGGAAATTAAACCATACAAAATTCATGATTTCTTCTTCGACAGTGATATGACATAATTTAATAAATAAAAAGTAAAATAACAAAAATACCGAACTCCGAGGAAAATTCAAATCAAAACATAAAATACATTTAAAATTTAATCATGTAGTTCATGCCATGCCTTAAAACTTTTCCAGGTGCATAGCCATAAGGTTATGATGAACCTTAAATATGTTCTAATACGTTGTGTTATGCATGATGTGCAGTGCATGACAATAGTAAATAAGTATTGCTTTAGCGCTATAAACACGGTATTTAATGTGTTTTGATAATTCAATTTAAACAATAAGAAAAAAAAAAGAAAAAAAGGAAGTCTTAAAATTATTTATTCTATTGTTCAGTATGCAATTACATGTCGGCCGGAGTAGTGATTTGTATCGAATTATAAGGTGTCTTTGTCGTGGTCCGCGTTCAGCGGTCTGTTTGATTGTATATATTTAGAATTAAATTGAATGTTTTTGCGTTCAAATGGTGTTACCTACAGTTTTGAAGAAACGACACTCACTGAAAGGCATGAAACCTAAAGGATAGGATCTGTCTGATCAGAATCTGGTGAGTACAAGTTTCAGTAATGTTTTGATTCCATAAAATATAAATAAAACCAGATTAGGAGTAAATATATGGATATGACCCTAACCGTTCTTAAATCACATGTTAACATGCATGGTGTATGGTTTGAAATATTTTCTGATTTCGGTGAATATATATATATTTGTTGTCTGTCTGTCTGTCTGTTCAATGTAGACACTTCAGATTTCATTTTTATAGGTATAATGGGTCTTAATTGTATTTTGAATTCTAAATGTTTTGAAGCTTTTAGATTTCATAATTAAGGTCAAGGTCAAATAATGAAATTTTGAAATGTTGTTTAAGACTTTTAATACATATATGGGGCTTTTTTTGATTTATGTGGTTTTGTCATTTAGGAGTTGATAATGCACAAACTAGTAAGATTGAGTCGAGGTTGATCCAGCCGAAACTTCCTTTTGTACATATGTAGGGAATAAAGTGTCCCATGGAAACATTAATCAAATAATTGAATACTGTATACAATGTATACATGTGATTCAATAAATGGTTCATTGATAAAGTGAATAGTTTAGTTGTTAATGGTTGATTGATTATTTTACTATGATTGCATATGATGTATATAATATGGTTCATACATGAATATGCATTTATATTTATATTGTTATTTTGCAGCATCCTAGTACGAGTTCTGCCACCTGTAGTACAACTGATAATAATAATAACAAAAGGAAAAGGTCAGATATTAGTGACAGCCTTGAAGATCAAATAACTTTGTTAGAAAAGACTACTTAGATTGAGTAAGTCATGTAAGTGAAAGAATTGAGAGAAAAGGTGAGAACTCTATGCAAGTGAATCTCTGATATTACTAACTTTAGAAGAAACTGCTAAGTGTTCCAGGAGAGTGAACCATGAGGAGGCAGATGTTTTTGAGGAGTTAGCAAGGCATGATAATAGATATCAGTTGAAGTTGGATGTACCTAATTCTATGTTTTTTTTGGTGAAATACCAACTATTCCAGTGGCTTTTTAACATTAATTTTACGTATACGTTTCTCACCAAAGTCTTGATCATTAGGTGAAAAGGTAAAACTGTTTTGGTCAAGATCGGGAAGATTATCTTTAATGGCTAAAGTACTCGGGTGATCATCATCATCCTTTATTTGATTGTTTCCAATATTCTAGGCAACATTTACAAAATAGTTACTAAATATTTCACACACCTCCTCTTGTTTTGTAATTAAAACATTATTTTCAGAGAGAACAGTTTGCTTTTGGTTTACGTTACCTTTATTTGTAAGAAAAGGTTTCACTGTTGGCCAGAAATCCCTGGATTTCGGGACCCCAGCACACCTCTCTATAAAATATTGGTTAATAGAATGATTTTTTAGTTTTGTAACATAGTTGCGTTGACGTCTATATGCTTCCCAGTTCTTACTACCAATGAATTTTTGAAATTTATTATGCATCATTTTTTTTTCTATAAATGGCGCTTTTGAGCTCTGCATTCATCTTATATTCGATTCTCTCCTGTCCATAACTTAACATGAACTGGATGGTATCAATCACTGAGGATATGGGTAAAACATAGATATGTCCTCTTGCTAGTTGACACTTTGAACAAGACACAATACGTTGGAAATCTAACTAGCTTTGACTCTGTTTCCTTCAAAAGATTATGACAGGAATAACAAATTGCTTTATTAATGCAAAGTATTCCCAATTACGCATATACACATGATAAATAACAAAAGATACTGATAAACAATTAATTGTTAACTTGATCTTTCCCTCGGTTCTAATGACTGTTTTATAAAGGTGTAACTATTTTAATATAACTTGCTGTTGACGGACTCGTACGCCGTTTTAAAACATGTTTAAGTTTATCAACGTTCGTTAAGTTTTTTAAATTATCTTCTACAGTTAAAATAATATTATGATCATTTATCAATATATAATCACAGGTACAAAAACAAAATTCATCATAGATTTCATTTTTACATCTAATGCATAATCGTTCTTCTTTTGGCAACAATCAAACAGTACAACCGACCCTTTATATACAAGTTGGATTGAAACCCAACGGATACGATCACATCCCGCCGTAGTCATGTATATCACATAGAATTTAAACATTTAAAAACAAATTCATTTCTTCAATAAAATATTTAAACATTTAAAAACAAATTCATTTCTTCAATAAAATATTTAAACATTTAAAAACAAATTCATTTCTTCAATAAAATATGCAGTAAAGTGTTTCAGTTTACTAAGTGTGAACGAAATTACATCAACATAATCAATAATAAACAACATTTTGCTGATTGATTGTTGGTATTTAAAGCCACTTTTAGCACTATGGGCTATATCGTGGCGGAAGCCGGAGTGCTCCGAGAGAACCATCGACAGGCTAGTAATACAGTAGATGAACGGCCACCGTCCGAGGCTCCTTCAACATGTTAAAGAAAATTGATTCATAGATAATTCATGCAATTTTCAAGAATAAAATGTTAAGCAGTTTTGTAAGGGTAATTGCATGATTTTATGAGCATGATGAGGTGCTCCTTGAAGACAAACGATGTAGAGCATGATGAGGTGCTCCTTGAAGACAAACGATGTAGAGCATGATGCATCCTAGCTAGGTCTATGTGTGTATATAAACCTACACATGTTACAATGCTTTTGCTCATGTAATAAAAGCGCTCACTAATTGAATACTGGTTACTAGTATCTTATATCTAAACTGGTTGCTGAAAAATCAGGACGAAGTATGCATATATTTAGAAAAAAATAAAAACATCATGGAAATCTTATTTAACAAATCATCATTTGATTTTTTTTACAAGATAAACAAAACAAATATTACATAAAGTGAAGAATAGAAAATTGATTGACCAATAAAATTTTACATTAGGATTATTTTAAATATTTGAAAAATTTCGTATCCTATCATACGATCTGGACATTCTATTTTGAAGTAGTTTATCTTATAACACAGACAGACAATTAAAAAAGTTGTTTATTAAAGTATAGATCTCTGATTTCGCTATATTTATTTTCATATGCTCTATAGTTGATATAAACCTTTACAACATATGGTCACTGGTGCAATGAAAGTTGGCCCCATTAGCATGCATATCACATCTCATTATAATGTAAACGGTTTGAACATAAAACACGAGGATATAAATAATAATTAAAGAAACTGATAAACCCTCAAAGAGTTGTGAAAAGGTCCTTAACGTGAATCCGAGGCTGCACTCATGTCACAATCCGACCTGTACACGATAAACCCTCAAAGAGTTGTGACAATGGTCCTTAACGTGTATCCGAGGCTGGACTAATGTCACAATCCGACCTGTACAGGATAAACCATCAAAGAGTTGTGACAAAGTCCTGAACGTATATCCGAGGCTGCACTCGTGTCACAATTCCGACTTGTATGTGTATTTATACCACACAGCCCAAACGGACGCCCATATCAACAGATTTTATTTCCGAAGTTAAGAGGTCCAGCTTGTCAAAAAATAATACTATGTATGTCAAGTAAGCTATATTTCAATAAAAGCAATTGTGCTGTATTTATATAAAAAAAATAATAACGATAATTGTCAACACAACATAGTCATATGCTTGACTCCCGGCGTCATCAGCAATTAATAAAATTGCATCTTTTCGAACATTGAATTGATAGGTCTGTCGCCTAACGTCAGTCACTGGCGTGGCCTCGAATCTTATATATGCATGACTTAAAGTCTGTTCCTAACTAAAAACGAGAGGTACAGTGTGTCCGAAGCGCTCACCTATATATAGATATAGGAAGATAGTTTACTTTTGTTGAAGGGAAATATAATAACACTAACAAGAATTTTACTACGCAAATGAGATGCAAAAGTGGAGGATTAATGGGAAATTAAATGATACTGTCCATATTAAAACAAAAATAAACTGCAAATTTGTTTAAATTTCAAGATTATAAGATGAGCATTGAATTTGCCCTGGTAACTACATTGTACACATTTGTGCAACCACTGCTGAAACATTTGCAACAAGATAAATATTAAATGTGTTTACTTTGTACAGTATCTGCTTATCATCAATCATGTAAACTTTCATAACTTGTAGCTTTAGAGGAGAAATTGTTTTATGCCTTCGATTGCCATACTTTCTCAACTCAACAGAACGTCATGAAAAATCATTGACCATAATATTTTGTGCAATATTCGTACATTCAGACAGCGATGAATTTCGGGAGTTTTATGGGAGATAAATGCCACCAATGTCGTCATCGGATCAACATTAAACAAGGACCGTGTGTAGAGATCCTCCCATCGGATCAACATGAAACAAAGATCGTGTGTAGAGAGCCACCCATCGGATTAACATTAAGCAAGGGTCGTGTG